GTTTCATCTGATTGATGATGCTTCTCAAAAAGGTCGCACGTAAATCAACTTCCATGATCTGGATGTATGTAGAGCAGATCACCGGACTCCTCATGAATGCATGCACAAGAACGAGCTTGTCCTCACCCGTCAAAGTCTCCTCCTCTTGTATTGCCTGCAACGCACGTGATCTGTCATCTGCCAGCTGACTCTCATCCGTGGACCCAAATGCCAAGTTAAGAGTGTCTGCGAGGCGGCTGATGGTGCCTTGGAGATTCATTACAGCAGCGGTGCTGGCGGCCTCCTTTACGGCCCTCTTGCTGGAGCTCGCACGCGACTTGCCACTGCCCTGGGTTGAAAGCTTGAGTTTTTTGTCCGACAATGCGCTCGACACATGCGACATGCTAGTGGAGGTGGTAGAAAGGGGAGCAGAGCGATCAAATAACATGTCCATGTGGGAGCGCTTTCCTGAACTGGATGCTGACGTGAGAGGAGGTCCTATGACTACTGGACTCGGAGTGATGGGCTCATGGGCAATCTCAACCCCACCCGGAGTGTTACTAGTAGAGGGACCTGCCACCAAGCCCATGTCAGCAGTGGTGGTGGTGGCAACAGCATCAGCTGATGGATTATATGCTGCTGCCCCATGCGCAGCGCTGACTCTTGACAGAAGTTGTTCCATCTTAGCGTAAAATCTCCATCCGTTTTTGAATTGCTTCATCCCTGCATTGGCCTGCACTGAAGGTGAGTATACTGTTTGGTGGCCCACCAAAAAATCACATACTGGGTTGGTAAGATAAGCGGACCAAGCATCTTCAGCGGCACGCCCTTGAATGTTGGCACCAATCTCAGGATCCCAGTGAATCCCAGATTTGTTGCGGTATTTGTTTATCTGGTTGAATGCGGCCTTGAGCTAAATTTGAAAGATCAGTATGGGAGTGGCAAAAGGAAGGTTTAAGATGACATACCGATGTATACTTGTTTCTACAGTGTGCTCCAGTCTTCATAATGCCCTGTGTCCTGATGTTCTGGGCCTCAATAGCAGTGGCCGCTTTGTTAAAAGTGTCAATCTTGAAGGATGTCGCTGCCATCTTCAATTTGTTTGTGATAAGATAATCAAGGAGGGCAATGATCTCTGCATCGTTCCACTGGGCCTTCTCCTTTGATCCAGTGTTGAGATCAGCTAGATCTTCTTGAGTGACCTGCATGACATATATTTGTGCACACAGTATGATGGCAGATACAGTGATGAAGACCTGCTTTCATTGCAGGAGATTGATAGTATTGTGATTGCCAGCAGGGACAAATGTAGTCATGGTCGGAAAGAAAGGTATTTAAAACTCCGCTGGCGGCTCCTTCTGTGCCGTAGCCACACATTCTCAGATTTTTCTCAAATCACGGTTGCCGAACAGGCTCATAATTCAGTGATCTGAGAGAACAGGAGAAGAATTGAATGTATGATTGTGTATCTATATCCCATGACAGAGCTGTTTGATGAATTCAAGAATAAACTTCCTCAAGTAGTTACCAGACAATGAACCAACTTTCATGAATTGTACACTCACCCACCATACACCTCATATATTCATTGAATGTAGTATTTATAAGCAATAAAGCAGTTAGTCCAAGGTGTGTCAATTCAACATGCCATTCATGATTGTTGGACGGCATTGGGTCACCTATAATATAGCTACCATGGATATTACCTTTTGGTGCTGAACTCCATTCCTGGTGGGCTGACACCATCGTGCATGTGTTGAATTGGTTGTATCTTTGGGTAGTCACTACTATTGTATGAATCACAATTGATTATTTAGCATCAAGATGATGAGGAATGTGGCGAAGGGCATTATTTTTTTTGCATATCTGAGACATGCAACAACTGAATTAGAGTGAAATGGAACACCAATAACACTTTACACGTCAAGGAATCTGCCCTAAATGCTCAGCGTCTACTGAGAACCCTTCATGATACCTGTTATTAGATTCAGATGCGACAACATACATTTCAAGAGAGTAGGACAAGCATATAATAAGCACTAATGAGGTACATACAAAATGTAAATACAATGGTCTAAGTACAGATGTCTAAGTCAGTGTTGGCAAACAATGCAATTATTGTATCCTTGAGTGTTTTCAACTGACTTCCTTTATGTGATACCATTTTCGATGCTTTTCTCAATTATGCAGCCAAATGCATTGTTTTATCTGATCCACTGTGTTTAGCAGTGGGTTTGATTTGTAAACCAAACCACACCCTTCCCGGTATATATCATAATGTTCAACCTTGCCTTCTACCATGATTACCCCGTCTCGACAACATTGATATAAAACTGACCAAGGTTTCTCGGCGCACATCTCATCCCACACATTATCTTTCTCATAACAAATCTCCCATCACACAAGTGAGTAACTCAGTTTATCACACAACCCTTATCATTTCAGACTCTAATTTCTAAAGATAATACAGGATGCCAGCCAATTACCAACCAAGAAGGAAACTGACAGCATACAAAGTGTCTTTTCTGGAAGACTCAGCTGACATTGAGAACAACACTCTCACAGATGTTGCAGACCACGGAAATGCTACAGGCCACCATTTGGTAAGTTAGTGCTGGAGCACAAGTACTTCCACATCAAGTGTCATGAGGATCAACAGAACGACAACACCCCATATGTATTAACCGACTTCGCATTTTTTGATGTCTGGCAAGACATTGTTCCTCTTCCGGAACTAGACGGCCTTTTGAATTCAGGTCCAGCAATATCTTTGGGGCTGGTATGGCTTCCATTGAAGGCCACAAACCTGTCTACATTCACATTGGACCTTTGAGACGCTACAATGTCAACCTTGCTGATGCTTATGGGTAAGGCTATTTTTTATTAAATTTATATTGAACGTGCTCAATATCTTACCACATTCATGTACAGATCCATGCATTTTTGAAGATGAAGATCATCAGCAATACCCCTGACGAGGGAGACATTTGGAATTGTGTAAGTTTCATGTACTTTCTTGTATTACTGCGACATTTTACTAAATCTATTTGTAGGTTCCTCTGAGAACCACAAAGTCATCTGGTCTTTGATGTATGCACTAACAAACCAGAGCCAAAAAAGAGCCAGAGGTGATAGATTTGATGCTATTGGATTGATTGATACATGTAGAATTATGGACTATTGTAGCTAGTGAAAGTCTATGTCATTAGGGAATCAATCATACATACTGTTTGTATCACATGTACTATATGTGTTCAGTTGTCTCAACATCACAATTCCGCTTGAAGAGGCAGAAATTCAACCAGAACATACAATAGCTGCACAGTCTTTGCTCCAGATAAGTAACTCAGTATTCTGCCTAAAAGGAACTTGCATTGTCTGTTCTCCCTCCTTGCACATATGTCTAGTTACATATCAGTTACATATATTTCGTTCTGGTCTTAATAACATACATCACCACACCTGTGGCAAAATATATTGTTTGATTAAGGAAGATGAAGTCACCATTATATCTCGAGTATGTGAAGATGCATGTAAAGCAAGTCAGAAAAGAAGTCTGAGTGACGATTGTCAACTACAATGGATCAGACAGAGGTAAGAAGACAGAAGGCACAAGAAACATCTGAATCATTTGAGGTGAACTGTGAATTTTCAGTGGACATTTATGGAGGACTTGGAGGTATCTAATCAATATAATATGTGAAATTAGGTCATCCAGACCAAGATATCGAACATCTTGAGTATGAGAAGAAGAGAGACTATATATCAACAAAGGAGATGTAAAATACCATAGAAAAAGCAATGATCAGTGTAATTCAAAGCACTGATATCTGATTTGGACGCTAGAGTGCTCAGTAAGTGGTATATGCACACAACCACCCATTTGAGACTTCTTCCATAATATCAATGCAATACATGTATATATCTGTTTTGTTACACAATCTGAAACAGGGTGTTTAAATTATATATCCTACCAGGAGGAAGAAACTCTTGCTCATCAAGAGCAAAAAACAGTGAGATGTAGGGATACAACAAGCCTGGAGGGAACTGAGAGAGGCTTATAATCAAGTTCTGTATAAATCTCATACAACACAACTTACACATATATTACGATCTTTCTATGTAGAATATACAACATAGTGTCCACTATTCAAGAGGTACATATACACCTCATTGCAAACTGTAAAAACATGGGGTGACAAATTTGCATCACTACAGAACAAGCTATCTGATATCTGCAATGGATCTCACACGAATCCCAAAATTACAACAACGTCAATCACATATTATGCTCACATTAAAGAAGTGTTGAGAGTTTATAATTATACTCTACTGATCCTCTCATAACTAACCAGTCCTAGCAACATTCCTACCGCAATTTCATAATCAATAGTTTTTCTTTCGTCAAAGTCAAACCAAATCATTCATTAATGAGGTCCACCTTGATGGCAAAACCTCACTAAGGCAAACATATACCATCATGTCTCACATACATTCTTTTTTTGTGATATTTCATGGCCTCAGCTAACAATAATGGATGATGATCTCAGTGGCTGAATTTTCTGGCAAGTTTTTCCAAGCATGTAAGATGAAACAAACATCTACTGAGATAAATAAGTAGCCCTGAACTTGAAGGTTGTCTTGTACGACCCATGAAACTGAGGCCATAGTGCTTGGCCTAATGATATTCCAAGCCAGGGAGTAAGTCAAGGGTGAAAGAGAAGATGAAATCAAGGAACCAAGAGGATAGACGAAAGTGAAAGGAAGACAAGCGGAAAAGTCACAAGAGTGAAAGTGAAAGTCAAGAGTCAAGGGAGGGCGAGAAGAGAAGAGCAGTCAAGAGAAATAGGAAAAGTGGAAGGGTCAGAAGAGGGAACAAAAGTCAAGACAAGGGAAGAGGGCGTCAAAGGACACATATTACAGTGACCTATCTCTGTATAATACGAGGGAACAGACGTGCATAATATCCCATATGATATGGGCCAGCGGACCATGGGCCCATGATAAAAATATCCTCAACTATGACAGATGGGCTGGGAGGGAAATTATTCCTGATGGAGGCGGGTGGGCCCATGCAGGGAATATATAGAGTAGATGAGTGGGCCGATGTACATGGATATTTGGTAGATGGGTGGGCCAAGGTAGTTGGATATTATGCAGATGGGTGTATTAAGGTAGATGTGTATGAGATAGATGGGTAGGTACTTATTATCACATTCACAGGTGGGCCCAGACACATATTAATTAGACAGGTGGGCCGAGAGTGTTTTATAAAATATTTCATTAGACGGGTGGGCCAAGGGTGTTGTATGGGATATTGTATTAGACGGGTGGGCCGAGGGTGGTATAAAATATAGACGGGTGGGCCCATGTGTATCATAATTGTAGACATGACGGAGCTGAGGTAGTTGTACATCAACCAAATCAGAGGAGGTAATAAATCAAAGTTACTGAGTTCCCGGAGCAGCAGGTGATCTCTTGACATGGCCTTTGATGGTGCACAGGTTGTCTTGCAGAATGTGGAATCTGGAGTGTGAGGCTTGTGTTGCCTTATGAGACACCCACTTCTGGCCACCAAAATTCTCCAAGTTCCGAGTTCTGAGTTCTGGGACCCAGGACTCAACACATAATTTAGTTAATCCCCGAAGGACACCGGGCATAATGAACAGAGAGAGGCTAGGTTGCTTGAGAGGTGTCCTCCTGGCCATGAAGGCAAAAGGTTGGTTGACGAACCTGCCACAATTCTCGATACATCCGGTGCCATCATCGCATGGTACCTCCCAGACGCCCTGACCGACACCACCCAGGTGTGTAATATACATTGTTACTCAATGGATATTAAATATTAAATGGAACCTACAGAAGGAAATCAGGGAGGCCACCAATTTGCCCCCTCCAAGCCTCGAAAAAAGTGTAAGAGCTGATGGCAATTGGCGAACTAATCAAAAGTGGTTCAAATGGGGCTCGGACAATGTTAGCACAACTCCTGGATGCATCAATTTATCTCTGGCATGGTTTCAACAGGGACACAAGGTAGGATCTGATGAGATGGTAATTCCGGCAGTCATACTCACCAATCCCAAAGAATGTGTCTGATCCGGAGGTATCTGCATCATTGAAGGGACCTTCCTGTGAGAATATCCTCAAAGCCATTGCAAGGCCAGCAGCCATCACATCCACGGCACTCAGGGTCATGCATCCTGAGCAGTACTGGGCAGGGTTATGAACCTTGTCAAACCTCAGAAATAAAGCAGTAAGCAAGGATCTGCAACAGATGCTGGAGGCCCTGCAGTACTGGGCATCTGTGTTTAACACCCTCTCCATCATTTCCAATTGGGAAACCCTCAATCATCGAGACCATTTGTCCATTGCTGAATGCTTTGACATTCTCACCACCGTGAGGAACTATTCTAATGCTCGGATGACAATGCCAAGCCTTCAGCTGGAGTTCAAGTACAATTCCAGCTGTATGATTGCGTTTTTTGGAAGGATTGTGAGACATGGGGTTTATGATGTGGAAGGGGATTGGATTGCTTGGGCATGGTATATGAGGGATTCTGTTCACATTTATGCTGGGGTTCCATCATGTGGATGGGCTAGTGTGGATGGTCCATACAGCGTGTGAAAGATCAAACAAAGAGCAAGTATTGTGACCTATATACATTCCAACAAATGAATACCATGTACCAATGGTTATCCGGACCTCAATACTCAATTTTGAGCATTTGCGAAGTGATATATGGGACTCAATATTTTGGATGCGAGCCTCGGTATTCAATAATTGGAACTCAGGACTTGACATATGGGAGTCCCGAGTGCCGGGGTACTGAGTCCCAAAACCCAGAACTCAGCACTCGATATTTGAGACTGGGAGAAGATGTATAAATATGCTTGAATTAGTAACATTTGTGATTGCTGTACACATTTGACAGAACCCTGAACCCCGACATTGTGGACTCCACGGGTTTCAGGGTTTGGGACTCGTGACTCGGAATTCAATACTTTGTTCTGAATACCGAGACCTGGAAGCCCGGGTCCCGAGTCCCAAATTTTGGGGTTCGAGGTTCAGCGACCCAGAGGTCAGCAACTGTGTCAGGTGTCAGGGTATCCGGAACATTAGAGATTGCATGTGTCAGTGTTTCGTGTTTCATGGTTCGTGATCCGTGATTTGGGCGTCAGGGACTCGGTATTCAGAACAGTGCACTTAGGACTCGACACTGTTCTGAATACCGAGTCCCTGACACCCGATTCCTGAATCATAGAACATAAATAGATATTTGGAAGTTGGTATGTGATTTTCAATACTCATTATATCATGTATGGAACATGGACTTCAAAATTCTGAACTCAGTGACTAGGGCCACTCTCCTCTGCCTATCTTCAATCTGTCTAGGATGGTGGCATACATCTGCATCTCTGCCATCATATCACGGATGCCCTCCTGTTGCTCCTCAAGCAATATCAGGAGGTGTTCTCTAATCCACCTCAGTCCCATCAGTACTGGAACTGAGGTTTGATCCACCTGCTCTGGAAGAGTGAGACCATCATTCTCAACACCACCCTAGAACAGATTAGTCATGAATCATGGAAATGGAATAAAATTCTTACTAGCCAATGCTGGTAGTGAAAGATACAGCAAGTCATTACCTAATCCAATTGTCATGGTTCATTCGGGATTGCAGTTTGTCTCATCCACCATGGAGTATCATAGTCAGATACAATCCGGGATGGATCTCCCGGATCTGCGACATCATGAAACTCACATAGGTGGGATGAAAAGATGTGGTCCGGAACCATGTTCCAGGTGTGTCCAGGAAACAACTGAAGAATATGAGCGACTGGGCTGGGAACAACCGAAATGATGCTCCTTTGTATGATAAGGATCAGCTCAAAATAGGCCGGAGTTTTGAGCTAGTGTGGATACTTGCTATTTCTACTTATAAGGAGCCCATACTTTCAAAACATCGAAATTTAATAATCAGACACCTGGAGTAGATTTAAAATATATTCACTATCATATACCTAAATTTACAAAACAATCGAGTGCTGAGGAAGTGAAATAGATAAGAAATCGAGTGTGGGAAAGTTCAAAGACCCAAAACATCGAAAATGATCAGTTGGACAGTAGTAGGACTTTAATGCTGGGTCAATCCAGATATACACCATGTTACTTCCACACACCTCTAATCTTAGGGCAGTATGTAGTATAGGTTCCTTTAGTAGTCCACCATATATCCTACATATTTTGAATGATATATTTGACCTGTACCATATATAAATGTGACTTTGTGTAAAAATATGTCAATTGTTACTTTTCACAGATATGTCATTTTACTTGTCATTCAGTCAGTCCTTCATGGATCTTTCTAAAACTTCAAATATATCATCTGGGACATATATGAGAGGTATAACAGGTATCTGATCACTTATCACAAGCTTGATTACTATGTAGGCTTCTTATCAGTAGAAATACCTCCTATACATCAGATATCAAATTTGCGCCCTATGTAGGGCTGATCCTTGGCACAGAATATCTGTGTGAATGTACTACTTGTAATATATGAGCAGGGCTGGTTATTTATGCAAGAGTAAGATGCTGAAAAACATTAGAAATGTCAAAAGTGAGATTTTCTATGTTTTTGTTCTTGTACTGATATATCAGTCCATCAGACTTCCCTTATAATTGTAGTAAATGATACATTAATTCTACAGGGACAGGTGCAGCAAGACCATCACTGCCATCAAGGCGCCTACACTTGCATCAGCTCGTATGTCACTTGAATTTTCTATGACCATTTGACCTCATTTTCCACTTGTAGGAGTTCCATCATCAACCTCCGGAGTTTCTCATTCGGCACTTGATGTGCCCATGGCAATGGCTATTCAGGATGGTGCAGCTCAAATTGCAATTCTCGAGGCTCGTGTGGCGGAGCAGGATGGTAAGATTGACACCCTGCAATGCCTCCATGAAGGTCTTCAATGAGAAATCTTCCTCCGGCACCCATCATTTCCACTTCCGGACCCCCCTGCCAATGCAACATCCTTGTTGCTTCATCAACCAGTCCCTCCTTCCATGTCACCCCCCGAATCAGCACTTCCTCCTCTCATTGATCTATCGATGGCAGGGATGGAGCTCACACCCCCAAAACTCGAGGATCCTCCTGCCATCAAGGGTCTCATGTTTGAGCACAGCCAAGTTGAACCCAAGGGTCCACAGACATCCATAGAATAAAAAAGACCATTTAAGGATGACCTTTACAAAACCTTAATTAACAATACAAATATTTCAAGGCAAGGAACACACCATGTTGAAGAGCTTTGCTGATTTCGCCTCAAACGTGTTCTCAGGCAAAGTTCCAGGAAGTTCAGCATACTCTTACCACAGAAAGTTTGGTGCATTAAGCCATCCCTTTCCTTTCTCATACATTTTCCTTGCCTCCAATACGCTAAGCAAATTGTTACTGTCTGCTTCATCCAGATCCTTCCATTTGACCGCAACTTCTGTTGTACTAAGCACTCGCACCTCAATGTCCATGCTTGCTTGCACAACATCACACTGGCCCATAGTTGCAAGGTCTACACCCTAAGATGAATGAAACTAAATTTGGCCTATTAAATGACAGGCATGTAAGCGCAATTTTAATGGAAAGCACCTTGGTCTTGAACTGATTGGCATATGTTTTATTTCTCCAGGCTGGATTCAGGGAAGTCTCCACTGACATCCTCACTGATGTCTCCTACACCACTTTAGTCAGCTGCTATGACACAACAAAGGATAAAAGGACATACCATTGTGCTCCTAAACTTCAATAGAGGATTGTTTGACAGTGGGAGAGTTGATGGGAATGGTGCTGTAAGTAGGTGGGCCTTTTTCTGTAATGGGTAAGCCTTGAATGGATATATATGATAGGTGAAACACCTGTGCATGCAATAATAGATATGCCAGATTGGAAGAACCACAGATTGCATGTTCCCCTATGTGATGAGACATAGGTGGCCACTGTGGCAGGGAGGTGGGAAAGTAAATTAGTTACATTCCTGCACGTGGGAAATCTGCCTGTAGGATCAACAACAAGCAGCAAACTCCAATTCTCTCTGCAATGGTTGAATGTCAGTTATCTCCTTCAGAACTACACTTTATCATTTGTGCATTGATGCAGCAGGGTGTTAAGAACGTGCTCAAGGGTCGGATCCGAAGGGCTTGGCTTCAGCTCGTGCGCTGCACCCCTTACCCGAGTACGTGCCCCTAACTTCCGAAGGCTGTCGAACGATGTCCGAAGGTTACCGGACGATGTCCGGAGGGCGTCGGGCAATGTCCGGAGTCCGATGTCCGATGCGTGGGAATTCCGGCGGACATTCGGGAACAAGAGATAAGACTAATCCGGATGAAGTCCGAACTAGAAAGGAAACAGCGGAGGACTACCAAAGGTAGAGGCGGAGGTGACGAGTCTATAGGAATCAATCCTAAGATGAGCGGAGGTCGACAAGAGAGAAACTCAAGTCGGACGGAGGAGAGAATGAGCAGAGTCTAAGATGATATTCGAACTAAGGAAACTACAGAGACTGTACAGGGTTTATATACTACTGAGGACATAACGGAGAACAGTAAGTGCAGTGCGAGGCTATGTAAAGCTATGGAGAAAACATATGGGACGACTAACACTAGTCTATCGGAACTTAGTAAAATGAAGATGGAAATGAATAAGGGACGGAAAATAAAGTGTACTAACTGATAGAGGAAATACCAAAGGGATAAGGCACGGAAGTTAGATGCGGGTCGGATCCGGACGATACATAGAAGTCGGCCAGATCCGGAAATCCAGAAATGATGAGTGTGATAGGTCTGGACCCGGAACGCGGGATATGACATTCTTCCACAAAGGCGTCGAACTTGGGCGCGCTGCCTGCACTGTCAATCTTGCTAGGGGTAGCAACACCACACATTGTGGTCCTCCGTAGCTCTGCCTTGTGTTCGATGTCCTGCTTCACTGCGTCTTTAGTGATGGCGCATCGTCAATTCAAGAGGGGGTGTAAGTTCGCCGAGGTGCTGTGAAAGTGCAATGGATGTTGTCAGAGATGCTGACAGCCACATGAGGAGCATGCGCCCAATCACTTTGATCTTGTCTGACGGATCGCTGATGGCTGCAAGCAAGTGTGAGAGGAAGATCAACAGGTCGAGTTGAGTTATGCAGATATCAAGCTAGAAGTACATGAATGAGGGGAGGACACGGGTGTGGAAAAAGCTTACAAGGGTGTACAGTGTCTTCGATGTGGTCTTGTGCACGTTGAGGCTGCCGATGACTTTGTGTGTCCAGGGTCCCATTTGGACCGTACTGATGAGATCAGGGTTGACTTTCATCTCCACATAGAGGCTCAGGAGCAGAGTCAGAAGGTGATCACGGATGAGGTGGGGCTTTGTTCTTGCTGCAGAGTTGAGAGCGGACAGTGCAAGGCAGCAGACATTCTGTGCAATTCGTGTCAGGAAATTCAAATTGATTAGAGCAACTGGCGTACCAAATCCTGGTCGTGGATTAAATCCAAGAAGTCCATGATGAGCGATGCCAAAAGTTTGTTGTATGATGGTGATGACTCCACAAGCATATGTCGGATGGCAGATATGACAGTGGCGCATGCTGCAGGGTTCTTGTCATGGATGCAAGAGTGAAGGTGCGGGAGATATTGCGAGGGATGTGTTGTAGTAAGTTTGCCCAGACAGGCAATCGCAACATTGCGTGTACTGTCTTGTGCATCCTCCAAGTATTGAAAGAGGGGTGCCCAGAGCTATTCTGCAATGCCTTCGAGTTGCCCATGTGAGCAATGCGTGACCACCTAGACAGGTTTTTAGAACACAAACTGACACAAAAGACTAGTTTTCAGACCTCCTTCAATGCATGCAATGACAGCAGCTTCTTGTGCGGATTGCTCTCTGGAACCCTGAGGATTGCAGGTAAAAATTGATGGAGATTTCAGCCTGACAGAGGATCAAGACACTTGATCAGCAAGGATTGAGCTCAACAGAGGATCAAGACATTCACAGCCTGTCAATGGAATAGTGACATGTTCTGTCAGCGAGGCTCGAGCCTGACAGAGGATCAGCACACTCACAAGCTGTCAATGAATCAAGGACGTGTTCGAACAGCGAGGCTCGAGCTCAACAGAGGATCAAGACACTCACAGCCTGTCAAGGGTTTTTTTTTTTTTAATCCTATTTTTTGTCTTCTTGGGGCAGTGCCCAATGTAGACAGTACATGCTATATACTATTGACTAGAATTGTATTGGACATTGGTATAATTATGGACCATTGGCTCGCACCCCGTATGAGGGTTTGGGGTGGTGTCAAGGGATTAGCGATGTGTTCTGTCAGCGAGGCTCGAGTCCAACAAAGGATTAGTACACTCACAAGAGATCAAGGACACGTTTGAACAGCAGGGCTCAAGCTTGACAGACGATCAAGACACTCACGTCCTGTTAAGGGATCAATGACGTGTTCGATCAGCAAGCTTGACAGAGGATCAACACACTCAGTCTGTCAAGGGATCAGTGACATGTTCGGTGAGCAAGGCTCAAGCTCGGCAGAGGATCAACGCACTGACAGACTGTCAAGAAATCAGTGACGTGTTCGACGATTAAGGCTCGAGCACGACAAAGGATCAACACACTGACATACTGTGAAGGGATCAGGAACACATCTGGTCAGCGAGGCTTGAGCTTGACATAGGACCAACACACTCACGGCCTGTTAAAGGATCAGTGACACATTCTTTGACATTTTGCTTGTCAGTATGCACAAGTGGAAAAAATACACAATGCACCTGGGCATGAATACCTACAGCCCAGTCACATCCTCCCTCCTGCGAGCAAAGGCCACTCTCCACAACTTCCATGTTGACTTCGGCCAAACCTGTCCAAGTATGACATTCTACACCACGGGCGAGGGCTGGCAGCATTACGCATTGTATTAATGAGCAGAGGGAGTGAAAGAGTGAAAAGCCGAAGTCCGGATGAGTAGGAGGAAGCACTAAAAGCCCTGGAAGTGCCAGGAGTAGGGTTGCTGGAGGGAGTGAACAGAGTGCTGGTGTTGGAGAGTCTGGGGGTGGAGTAAGTGAAGAAGATCTTAGTATCAGTGAGGCCGAGATGGGGAGTGTGCACTAAGGTTTTAGCAGACATCATACATTGTAGACATCCTTGAGGAGATGAGTGACATGTAAGTCATGCATTTTAATGATGAAATGTGACATGTCGTGCATTGTTTGTAGCGTAGTACTGCTTCCGCGTGTCAGGCCTTCAAAGCTTCAAAGCTTCAAAGCTTCAGGCCTCAGGTCTAGCATTTGCTCATAGTTGCTCAAGAAAACTGCTGATCATTATGTAATTGAGAAACCTTTCATTCAAAACATCTTGTCTTGTTATATACATCATGCTAATTTGCCCTCACTAGACATGCTAATCACTTCCCTAGCCACCACTGACCCTCCTCTTCTCACGCTCACTCAGCGTATTCACTCGCACCTTCTACCAGGCTGATCCTTGCAGACATGCAGCTTCCCATTGGTCCCCCTGCTCCCCTCTTCACCACTGATGATTTTTCTTCTGCCCCCCATCTCCACCACACAGAGAGCACAAAGGACCTCCCTTTCAGTCAATTATCTACCCAACAAGTTCTCTTCTGGCTTGCTCTCCCCCACTCTCCATAGATGTAAACTATCATGTAGGCAACTGACAGGAACTCATTCTCTTCACAGCCACTGCGGCCCTCATCTCAGTTACTTCCGTAATTGGCTGGGCTGGCATCCTCAACAACAACTGCTCTTTCCTCACAGTCTACACTTCTGCTCTCTGGCTCTGCTTTGCCCTCTCATGACCCGGCTACATGACCTTGGGTATTTGGGCCAAGCTTTCTGTAGCAAGGTTTTATGCTCCAGAGTAAGAGATAGCGTAGGTTTGCTACTCATGACTTGTGGGCAAATGCTGACACTGATGCTATCCATAGTCCTGGTCCAGCATTCTGGCTCTGGGACTACCTCAGGCGCTCTCACACATGGGATATCCAACTAGTCCACCATGTCCACCCCTCCATTTGATTCCACCACCTACTCTGTCCTGGACACGCAGTCAGAGAATCCACACCACTCATACTAGAAAAACCAAGTTCACAGGCGAATTTACAAGGTGGTAAGTCCATAACGCAGCAGAAAGAGACAAGGTGTTCATACCCCTTGAACTGTTGTTCATTCTCAATCTTTTGTTCAGTCACAATCGTGATCGCAATTGACAGCAATATCCACAAGGTCTTGATTTCAGGCATCGTACAACCCCCTATCGCATTTGTGTCCATGATGAGTGAAGAGAGCATACAGAACCCTGGTATACCCACACCTCTGGTATCTAATATGCTTTGCATGCTTACCTGCCTTGCATCCATCAGTTTGTTTAACACAGTGAGTGAGTAACACACAAACACGTACTTATCACTTATAACTTCTTCCCATAGTTCATGAACTACCCGCCTATCATCTTATTCACATGCAACCACAGCACTCCAGGCCGCATCAAAGACACAATTGCAAACTTGAAGAACAGCCAAGGGTTCACTGTGGATATCATCAGCAAATGACTCGTTGAGAATGCAAATGCAAGTGTCGTTGACGCACCTCCCGGCTTCAACAAGCAGGCTATCAGCAGTTCAACAAAGGAACAAATGTGTATGTGTGCACATTTTTGGTATGATATATGCACTAAAAACAAGGTGTTCAGGTGCAAATACAAGCTTCCTGCATCAAGGAAAGCGCTTTTGGCATATAGTGCAAGGTAATTTCATTATTGTCGAGCGCCCTCACACACTAACCACACTGCATCTCAATAGCTCTGTACATCCATAATGTCACCCACCCAAGTCACGGGCGAGTACAACAACACGCTCATTCTCACATACATCGAATACAAATACTTATGCAAAGACATTGTGTCGGTAGGGGTTATGCAGAGGCTAGGTCAGAGGCAGGAGAGCAGGAGGTGTCAGAGGTCTTAGGGCAGTAGAGGTGTCGGAGGGGCTTGTAGTTTGCACTCCAACCACGAGCAGTGTCCTTGTGTTTGCTTGTCACCCGTTCGTCGTACCGACTCACCTGGTGACTAGAGCGAGTGCACCTTGTGCCTCACCGTCTCGAGACTCCACAAAAACAGTTTAGATTCGCTTTTCCTCTTTTTTTTTCTTGTCTCCGTTTTCTCTTCATTTTTTACTAGTTTCTGTTTCTTAGATTCTTCGTGTCACACATTCTCATCATGGCTCTTACTTTAGAAGACATTGCAAGGCTACGTAGGCTTTTGCCAGACACTCCCAATATTCTGTTCAGCCCTCGCAGACGAGTGTCTGATTCCTCACTGATAGTCCACATCGCCTCCCCCCCAGAAGAGCTCGGGCCAGCGATCAGACCCAGCATAAGACACATACATAGCAAGTACATAGCCAGAAAACTGCCAGCAAGCAGCCAACCTCAAGTTCAAGTCACCACTACATTCCCTCAGAACACATATCAACCACCCATGGCGACAGTACCAGTACTACCGCTACTACGAGGAGACTATGTTGGTGGAGAAGAGCCCAATGAATGGATGTGCCAGCTTGATCTCAGCCTACCTGCAGCATGGAATGACGTACAGAAGGTTGAACAGTTCCGTCGAAAATGTGCCCCAGGCAGTTTAGCGGAGGCATGGTATACAACGCTAACACCGGCTCAGACAGCCACATGATCCGACCTGAAGAAGGAACGACTGAAGGCAGTAGTGTTGAAAGAAGCGGAGATTGGGACAATGCTAGATGATGAGAAAGGGCAAGAGTGGGGACATGTGAGGTGGGCAAGACAAGTTCAATGGCTAGTGCAGAGTTTTGGAGACAATAACTGCCAATTTTTGGACGTGGTCCTTGATGGGATGCCGGACCTGTTGTGCGACTACCTATCGGACATGTACACTGACTGGGCAGCATTCCTCGCAGGGGTTAACAACGTACCTATCAACCAGCTTGCTAGAGCAAGACTACGAGCAGCCAAAGAATGGACTATGAGAGAAGATATTGCGCAGCTAAAGGCTAGACTACAGCCTCAGCAGCAAGCACCGTCAACACGTCCCTACTCGACAAACCCGCCGGCATACAGACCGTACCCTCACCCATTCAGCAACGCAACCACCATTCCATTGATGCAAGCACCTGCCATGACGGTACAGCAACCTGCCAGTCAGAGTCAGCCGAACCTCGTCTCCATGATACCATACCAGGTACCTATGTATCAGCCTCAGCCAATAACACCCGGGCAGAATCCATTCACGACGACAGGAGCAGTACCCAGCACCAATTTGTTCTACCATTACCAACCATTCCAACAAACTCCATCTCGTGCAAACGCCGTAGATCGCGTCCGCATAGCAGCACAATATTCCATGCTCCAGCACCACCAAGACTCGGAAACAGGTCGAGCAGCGTACAACCAACAGGTGAAGGAATGGCATGATAAGCACGGCACAGACGCCATGCCTCACACAGGATGCCCTTACCCATTGAGACCAGGTTCAGCGCCTTTATGGTCACGGGAATGTTTCACGTGCGGACTGGTAACCACACCATCGCACCAAGCTGCCAATTGTCCCCATCAACTGACCGTACCACAGGAGACCAAATGGTGGGACATGCCATCAGAGGGCAAAACTGTTAAGACCGTGCACAAAGGGTAGGACTTATTCCGAGGGGCTTGGCTTCAGCTTGTGCGCTGCGCCCCTTACCCGAGTATGTGCCCTTAATTTCAGAATGATGTCCGAAGGACGTCCGATGCGCGGGAAAGTTCGGAAGGACTTTCCGGATGAGTGCGGGAAAGTTCCGGAGGAACTTCCGGAAATTACAATGAGGTTTTGTCCTGATATGGATACATGTAATGGCTACTTAGGACACGTCCTAAGTAGAAGCAAACAGAGGAAAGGCTGCAAGGACAAAGTCCGAAGCAGAATAGGTCCGGAGGACCACGGGAAAGTTTCGGACGAATGTCCGGAAACTTCGGAGGATCAGATGAGCGGATAAGCGGAGCTCTGGCCTAGGGAATTTCTCCCTAGGCCCCAGATGGATATTGACTAAGTCGATAGACTAGAACTGATGTGAGGACTTAGAGTGAGATCTAGTGCGAGGACTAATATGATATTCAGACTGAGGAACTACAGGACATATACAAGAGTTTATATACTAAGGAAATAATGGAAAGATCAGTAAGCAAGCGTCCGAGGCTATGTATGAAGCATAAGCAAAGTTATCAAGCGCGAGTCGGAAATGAAGCATAGGTTAACGGATAAGTAAGCATACCGGTAGTAAGTATAACCGAGATACCGAGGACAAGGAATACCGAATAGAGGAATAGGCTGTGTTAACGTTATATGCACAGGAATTGAATTAGGAAGCTTATCGTATATCGGATCGGATCGGATCGGACCGGACGTCCGGATGAGACGCGTGGATATATGGGATATGACATTAGGGTGATGGGACAAAGGATGACTGATGCAGGCTAGCTGAGGTATGGAGGTAAAGGGATGTGGATGTGGATGTGGATGTGGATGTGCAGAGGTGCAGGGATCCAGATGGATAGAGGACTGGAGACATGGATAGGGCGTCCGAAGGTCCGGATGAGGCGTGGGAATATTGTCGGATGTAAGTCTGGAATACGGGATATGACAAAAACCCGCCAGTTACCCCATCCACTGCAGTGCAGTATGTAGCAATGCCACCTATGAACTACTACAATCCAGGAGGAATGTACAATGCCTACCCGGCTATGTACATGGAGCAGCATTATGAATATCCGGGAAACGAGATGGGACTACAGCATTGAGGGGTAGCCCAGTAGTCCCATCCGAAGAGACGTTGAACATAGCAACACCAGTCTCATCCACCCCCGTTTCAGCATATATAGAAGAATATCATCACGCTCCCTCACCAGAGATATCATCCGGATTCATTTCACAGATGTCACCCGCAACATCGACGCTCCTCGATTCAGAACTAGTCTCAGAAGTATCCTCGCCTATATCGTCAGCCAGAGATGACAACGCTGAACATATAGTTACTGCCGTTGACAACTCCAAAATATGTATTAAGTCCCCTTCCGTTTCATCGTCTCCTGCCTTGTTAGAACCCACATTGTCTGATACTTTCACCCTATTAGAAAACCCTAGTACCTTTGATACTTCTGTCCCAAGTGACATGAGCGCGGCCTCTCTTGATATAGTCTCAACGTTCCCAGATTCCAGTTTCCTTAGTTCTACAACGGATTCGGTTGTACACATTATACCTTCCGATAGAATTGAACCCATTGATTTGTATTCAGTCGAGTCATGAACGGCGCAGGCAGAAGGCCAGCCGTTCATGACACAAGTCAACATGTATGGAGAAGATGGCAGCTCATCTGGTTTTCACGCACACGTCGATGACGGAGTGATGATCAATGTGATCAATGCAGAAGCCTATCACACAGCTTCCAGAAGAATTGGCAAGCTTCTGCCATCAACACATGTCCTTCGCATGGCCGACGGATCATTAGTGCCATCCCTCGGTGTTTGGTCAGGGGAAGTCAAATGGAGAACGGCGAGAACTGTAGTCACTTTTGAAGTGTTTCCAAGTGGAGGATCGTGGAAAGTCCTAATCGGCAAACCGTTGTTACAGCAACTCCGTGCAGTCCATGACTACGCCAACGACATAATCTCCCTCCCAAGCACGAATCCACTCAGTCCCGGTCCCATAGTCATCCCGAATATATTCGGCACACCTGCAGCTCGGTCCAAACGTCCCATCAGTCAAAGAGCTACGGTCTCAGAAGAACTCAAAAGCAAAGAACCTACGGCTAAGGCAACCAGCCCTCACGTGATGATTGTCACGATTCCACCAGACATTCCATCACCAGACTCCTTTCCCTCACCACTCATACAGACTAACGAACAGTACATATTTGGATACAACACGGACACTGGTAGGACGGCCATCACTGAACTTTCAGACCAGCTCTCTCAGGCAGGAGCGCATATCATACTGGCAGACCGTAAACCAACGCTAACGCCAATGAATTCGCCTAATGCTCACCATAATTCACCCTGCACCCCGGTGTTGTTCATGGAGACGACACCCTCAGACAACGAAGTCAGCGAGGTGCCTGAATTCCCCCTACCCAGTGAAGATAGCCGAGGAATCTATACACAGCACACCAACCCCTTCAACACGGTACGCGTAAAGGAGATCTTAAAGTTGGTGACAGTGGGTGAAGACCTGACAGAAGAACAGAGAGAGAGAGTAAGAGGGTTCATAGTGCAGCACACAGATACATTCGCACTCACAGTTAAGGAAGTATTCCTGGTGGACTTTAAGACATTCAAGCTCACATTTCCCGCAGGTGCAACATTTTCAACGAAGACTAACCAAAGACCGTTAATGCCCTGCAACATGAATATCTCTACGCAAGACTTAACGAAATGGAATCGGCGGGGATTATTCGTAGAATTCCCCCAGAAGAGGTCAAGGCATCCGCACCAACAGTGCTGGCACAGAAGGCACACAGCGCGGCCAACATTCCAATCGAGGAGTTGTGGCATAGGGTCAACAATCAGTGCGAGCAACATGGACTTCCCATATGCGATGACCTACCTCCACGACCTCCAGCAATAGCAGAACCTGCCCCTACCCAGACTGGTCCGAAGTGGCACATTTGCCAAAACTTCGCAGAGATCAACAAGGCCAGTCAGATCCCACTGGTACCTCAAGGAGACATCCAAGCCAAGCAGCAACACTTGTCTGGACATCGATGGATCAGTATCATCGACTTCGCAGCAGGGTTCTATGCGATACCCGTAGATGAAGACACACAACCATACCTTGCCTTCTACACCGAAGGACGCGGATACGACTGTTATCGTAGGATGCCATTTGGGCTGACAGGAACACCAACAACATTCAGTGACATGGCAGCTACAGCATTGAAGGATCAAATAGGATTGTTATACGAACTCTATGTAGATGATAATGGTATGGTGGGGGATAACTTCAAAGAGAAACTGGAAAGACTAGGTAAGTTCTTCAGCCGTGTTCGAGAAAAATGACTCTCGCTTTCCCCACAGAAAATGCAACTGTTCATGTCCGAAGTCGCATTCGCAGGAGCACGAGTAGGCAAGGCCGGAGTACGGCCAGATCTAGCTAAACTCTCAGCAGTTGCAGACTGGTTGCCTCCACGCACGCTACACAACCTCATGCAATTCTTAGGACTCACCGGATACTTCAGGCCTCTAATCAAGAACTACGCGAGGATAGCAGCGCCACTTACAGATTTAGTACGAAAGCTAGGTGTTCCACCAGAAGGACAACACATTGGAAAACACAAGTACCGCGACCATCTCCGCAAGACACTCCTAACGACTTACTGGAAACACAACCATCTGGACATATTCTTCCAGCTCAAGAAGGCATTACTATCTAAACCGGTACTATGAGGACCACAATTCGATGGCACCCCGTTTATAGTAACAATAGATGGGTGCAAGGACGGCTTCAGGGCGATACTAGCCCAGAGATTCACGACAGTACTACCTTCCGCCAAGACTACCACAGCAGCTCACCCAATCGCATATGCATCAAAACGAACATCATCAGCAGAAGAGAAGTACAAACCATTTTTACTAGAATTTGCTGCACTGAAGTTTGGCCTTGATAGATTTTCAGATGTCATTTGGGGGTCCCCAGTAGAAATAGAGACAGATTGTCAAGCTCTCAGAGACGCACTACTAAGCTCGAAGCTGAACATTGCCCACACGAGATGGCGTGACGGCATCATCGCACACCACATTATCAATGTCTGGCATAGGGCAGGAATGACTAACACGGAGGCAGATGGACTTAGTAGACAGTTCTCAACCATACCCATTGCAGCAAACGATGGTAGCGCTTGGACAGTTAGCGAGGATTGGGAAACATCTAGAGGTATCATTAACGACTTATTCAACCTTGAAACTGATAGTTCTTCCCCACAGGATCCAATGGAAGGTCAATCAACCTTATGCTCACGGTTCAAGGATGAGCCAATGTTCCTAGAGGTGCTGGATGCACTCCTTAACTTAGATCAGGACAAACCGGAAAAGGACAAACGACGAGCGCAACACCAGGCACAGTCCTATTACATCGAGGGCAGGAAACTTTGGTATATCAACAACAAAGCAACCACCCGAGTACATAGCCGGCTAGAGTGCATGTCTCAGGCAGAAGCAGTTGAATTAGCCTGGTCAGAACACACGTCCAGATGACATTGGGGACGAGACCTCGTCAAACTATAGCTTATGGACCGCATCTATAGTCCACGCCTCAATCGTTCAATCACCACTGCCATTTCAGAATGCTCAAAGTGCAAGAACTTTGGACCAACTCACCTACACGCCTTACTAGATCCCATCGTGCGCTGGCACCCATTTGAACTCATTGTAGCCAACTACTTGAGCATGTCAGCAGGCAAAGGCGGATATTCTGAAATAGCACTGTTCATAGATACCTTCTCCCAGTACACCTGGGGATTCAAACTCAAGAAGAAAGGAACCGCTAAGTCCACCATTGATTGTCTAACCAAAATACGTCATGACTTCCACGCACCAGAATCATTTATGACAGATGGAGGTCGTCACTTCGACAACCACAAGGTAGCTGGTTGGTGCACAGCACACAACACCCAACACCACATCACGGCCGCATACACACCTTGGGTCAACGGGTTAGTTGAGGGGACGAATAGCAAACTACTCGGAAGACTGCGCCGAGCGTGTGCACCAGAGTTGGGAGAGGATGAGTGCGTAGCAGAAGTAACCAGGGACAAGATACCTACGAACTGGCCGGATCACTTCAAAGAGGCCATTCAGCACCTCAACGAGTGCACCATCCCAGCCTTCCAATACTCCCTGAAAGAGCTATTACTGGGCTTGGTCATTAACACACCTGTCACACCGCTGGACGTCATTGTTTCCACCATCTCACAAAACGACACCAACATTCACTCAGCTTATGCAGCGCAGCAATGACTCGACGCGCACTCTCACATGGTCACACACACTATCAAGCGTAAGCTCAAGTTTGATCGAAGAGTACTATTATCAGGAACAGGTGAAGTCATATTTTCACCCGGTCAGTTAGTACAGGTATATGCTAATGAACTTGACAGCACCTTCAAATCATCACAGAAACTAATCCTGCGATGGTCAGCACCACAACGAGTGGTGTCCCAAAGAGGCACTTCGTACGCCCTCTCCATGCTGGAAGGATTTCCCATGCTGGGATGGTACCATGCAAGGCGCTTACGTCGCTTCATACCCCGCTCCAGAACGGCGCTGGCAGAGCTACAGAAGGAAACAGAAGGTGTTGTGGGAGCAATGAAGACATATGGACGATACATGCACAGCCAGCGCCCAATCCTACCCCCCTCGAGTTCGTTGCACTAGATACACCGTTCAGAGATGCGACCCAGGAGTGTCGCATTTGTTGGGAGGGGTACATGTGTTGGTAGGGGTTATGCAGAGGCTAGGTCAGAGGCAGGAGAGCAGGAGGTGTCAGAGGTCTTAGGGCAGTAGAGGTGTCGGAGGTCCTGGTTAGGTCTTAGCAGTAGCACATGTGGCTTGTAGTCTGCACTCCAACCACAAGCAGTGTCCTTGTGTTTGCTTGTCACCCGTTCGTCGTACCAACTCAACATACTCACAGGCACAGTAGTGTTAGGGTTACTGTCTTCCACTGCATTTGCAAACTCCTTCCTTCCTCTCCTCACACTGACACAGATCCTCTCAGGAATGCTTACATTTGTAATCCCTTGGATGTACATTTCTTCTTTTGGTTCCTTTGCATCTTACTCAACGGTCTCCTTGCAGTTCACTGCTACATTGCTCCCATTTCCTAACTGCTCTCCCTCTCCGCAGGCTACTATTCATGGATGTTGGCACAGAGATCCACGTGAGAACGTGAGCATCAACAGCTGCTATCACATTTTCAACTTACACATTTTCAATCTCAACTACCCACCAACCAATCATTTGTTACTGTTCCTACAACTTTCAAAACCCCACTACTCGTGCATTGCTGCCAACTTTCGATGTCTGTCTTGCCTCAGATCCACTGGTATGCCAGGTTCATTTTTCTCAATGTAGTCCAGCTCTCACATATCCATTTGCAGCACAACAATGCTGGTGATGACCTGATTTGTGATGAAGCTTTTATTCCTCATCTATCCAATTCGCCGGCCATAGGGCGCTGGAGAGCATAGAAATGGCTGGTTGTGTTACTACTTGCAGATCAGCTTTGAAGACCTTCCGCATGTATTGCTTTTCTTATACGTGAGATTCACATTTTGGGATTATTGATATAAGTGATACGAAAATGCATGCTGCTACAATATCTCTACTGTCCTGACCATGTCTGGAATAGAAGAAAGGTCCTTGACTTGTGCAATAATATCATGATCTGACGCGATTCTCTTGTATTCCCCGCTGCACTGATGCGCTAGCAAAAATGTGTTAAAAGGTTGCCCAAGGTGAGCAGCCAATCACAATGCTCAATCACAGTCAAGAACGGAAGAGGGAAGAAGAACAAAGGAAGAGGAGTGAGAGGTTTCGCCTCAAAGATGGCAAGGGTTCAGAGAATGGCCGCTATCTTGATAATAGGAGGAATGCGCATGACAGCCACAGACATACTCAACGCACATACCAACCTACTCCCTTTCCAACAGCTGCTAAGGAAAGTATGCTGTTGTGTGACACTGCGAATGTCTACCCTCCCGACCACACATCCACTCCATGCTGAATTACGCAAAGCACTCCATCAAAGAAAACGACACAGGACTCTCATGCACAACCTCCTATGCAAATTCAACATAGATCCCAGAACCATAGAGAAAGTCAACACAGTACGACACAATCCAAAATGGGAACTGGACGCACAGATAGAGATAGCGGCATCCAAGGAAGAAGCAGTCCAAGCCGATGAAGCAGCAGATGAGGAAGTTAGAATCTACTCGGATGGATCAGCAATAGACAGGGGAGTAGGAGCAGCAGCAGTATTGACAAGGGAAGGAAGAAAACTGAAGATCCTGCACTTCCACCTAGGACCAGCCTTGCAGCATACAGTATATAAAGCAGAAATCGTTGAAATGATCCTGGCCGTGGAACTCCTGAGATGAGAGCAAGGCAAGCCAACAGCAGTCATTGGTGTCGAAAACCAAGCAGCAATACTCGCAACACAATCCTTCACAACCAACCCAGGCCACTATCTGATGGACATGTTCCATAGAATTCTCGAACAAGCACTAATCAAATGAGACGAGGACAACCTGAGGATACGCTGGACCCCAGGGCATGTGGACATCGAGGGAAACGAGCTAGCAGATGTTGAGGCAAAGAAAGCAGCAGGAGGACATTCGAGTGCCCCACCTGTTCTACCTAACTGCCTTCGCAAGCACAGACACGATGGTCCCAATACCATCGCTACCCTCCCATGCAGCAAATCAGCACTCAAACAGCAATACTACAATCAGCTGAAGAAAGAGGGACAAACCATAATGCACGAATCACCACGTTACCCACTGCCCAAGAAGATTGATGACGGAGTCCCATCGAACCAATTCCAGAAACTAGTTGCAGGCCTTCCCCAAAGGCAAGCCAGCCTCCTAATGCAGTTGAGAATGGGTCATGCCCCACTCAACAAGCACCTCCACCGCATAAAGAGGGCTGAAACACCGCTATGCCCCGCCGGTGAAACCTGTGAAGAGTCTGTGCATTATTTCCTGATGTCATGCACCACATACCGCACCCAGAGAGATGCCCTACGTAGATCAATCCCGAACCGTGCATACCACATCTGCAGTCTCCTCAACAACAACAAGCACATCTCCAACTTGTTCAAGTATATTGCTGCCACGAAGCGCCTAGAATGAGAGTCTGGGAACGTCGCAGACAAAGATTTAATAGGGGAGTTCAAAGCTGGATTTCGAGGCCGATTTGGATGTGGATTTGGACTTGGATTTGGACGCTAAAAACGTCCAAATCCGATTTCAACTTTGACAACCCTCGATTTCAACCTGATTTCAATGGATTTGACACTAACTGTTTTCGCTTACCTAAGTGCTTGCTGCGTCGGAGTTCAAATTACCGTAGTACAATGGTTAGCATAGGATACGTGAAAACTGTTTTGAAACCACCATGCCTTTTCAAACTGAGCGCCAGCAGGCTGCTGAATCAGTGCTCAAGTCATACATTGCAGCTCTTCTGGCAGAATCCCATATTCTCGCTGATCCCATGTCTTCCTCTAGCTCTGGTTCTTCTGATTGAAGCTCCGATGACTTCTTGTGAATCTGATGACAACCCAATGCCTACTACCAGAAAAGTTTTGCATGGTGTGGTAGGCACATTGTACTCTCGAAGATACCTTGTCAACAGGGAGCCAATAGTCAAGAGTGGTGAAAATTTAGTCGCCCCAAGTATATGTTCGAGTAACCCCTGACGGCTAGATGCGTGTATTATGTAAGTCACATTGTGCATATTTCAGAGTCCGACCCACATTGCCGAATGTTGCTGCTGAACCAGCCGAAATCCATCCCAAATCCACCAAAGCTGATTTCATTTTTGAAAAATGAAATCCACATCCAAATTTACATCCAAATCAGCCTCGAAATCCAGCTTTGAACACCCCTAATAATTGAAAGGAACTGAGCCACCTTGTTCCCTGTGCATACCCAGACTCATCCCTCAGTACACACCCGTGAAGATCCAAGCCCAAGAAAACCTAGTGTAACCGTGCATACACCCCACCCCTCCATTAGCCGTAGGTTGGCTTCCAATGCTCCACTACCCCAAACCCCCATATGGGGTGCGAGCCAATGGTCCTTAATTACACCAACACCAGAAGAATCAATAGAACGTCGTAGTATATAGCATGTACTGTCTACATTGGGCTTTGCCCTAAGAAGACATTAAATAGGATTTTTAAAAAAATGCTCAATCGCTCAATTCTGGATCAACTGACTCCTGTGCTTCAGGGAACTCACTAGATGAATGCTGTGATGGAGACCCAGGCGCGGGCCAATAACCTTTCTCATTCTCCGTGTCGTCAAGGTCAGGCAGCTCCACCAAGCTAGATGACTGTGCAAAGTCAGGAAGTTCAAGGAGATAATGATTCCATGGACAAATAAGCAAGAATTTCTGCAAGGTGGGTTGTGGAGATGAGAACTGAATCAGCTTGTCTTCCGCAGTGATCACCAGATCATGAAGCCCATCAGCCTTGACTTCATATATCTCCCGGTCATGAGCTCGACTCCATTTGAGTGCTGTGACATGAAATGCAATGCAAGGAAGATGCAGTCTGCAGTTCCTGAAATGAGGTGCGTTCAGATTGTCAAGCCAGGTGCAAAGTTTCAGAGGCAAATCTACAGCCATGACATGTTGAAGGAAGGAGATCAATGCCTGAATGTCATCTTTGGACAGGGATGACAGGGTATATGGTGGAGCCTTGTATAGAGTAACATTGGCCGGAAGACAGCTATTGAATTCAGATGATTGTCCCACCCAGTCCAGGGCACTTATGTCACCCGACTGAGCTACGACCTCCTGCAAGAGCCTCCCAAGCTCCTGTTTCTTCTTCTCGCCATAAATGACAGGTAGATTGACGTCAAAGATAACAAATAATGAATATACAATATTTTCCTGCCATGTGGTGACATGGACCGACACCCATTGAAGTTTCTCCCAGGCGTCTCTCATTCCCAGACGGAAGGCGATGAGGGCCTGTGCATTGATGCCTGTCGCATCTCGCATCTCCTGGATTATTGCAAGGGAGTCCTTGTGGTTAGAAGAGCGATCGTCGAGATATAGGGACCAATCCTTCTGATAAAATAGGTCAAATTCGTTGTAATGTACGTTGTCTAATGCCCTCATTCCCACTTGGATGTGTAAATAAGCCTGAAGTGCAAGATTTGCAAAAGCAGTATCGACACATAGATCTGGAGTTGACTGTGTCAGGAGCACTCACTTCCACGATACCACAGGCAAGAGAGATTGGATTTGGACGAGTGGTAGTGAGCTCTTAGACACGCAGAATTGCTTCGTCACATTGATTTGCATTAAAAAGGGCGATAGCCTGATGGCTGTTGTGTAAGTAGCGAGTGCATCAGACACAATCAATGTACCTTAATCAAGAGTAGAAGAGGAGTCTAACCTTGAAAGACCCACATGCCCCTCAGAACGATGGCAACCCTCAAGACAATGCCCACAAGAGCGAGCTTCTATATGAGACCTTCTTCCACCCACCACCCGAGAATGACTACGTCAACCCAAACTATGTATATGAACCTCCGGTATGTGACTTCAGCCCAATTACTGACTCCCAAATCTCTCGTGCAATCACAAGATTAGCCCCTTTCAAAGCTCCAGGCCCCAACAGAATCAGCAACGTTGTTTTTCGCAAATGCGCCACCAATCTCATGCCCTTCATGGGCCCGATCTTTCGAGCCACGTTCAGCCTCAATATCTATCCCGCCCAATGGAAAAAATCCTCAACCATCATACTGCACAAACCAGGACGACTGGATTATAGTCTTCCCAAGGCATATAGACCCATTACACTGCTGGACACCATGGCCAAGATTTTCTCGTCCTGCGTTGCGGATGACATAACGTACATAGCTGAACAGCACAATCTCCTCCTGCCTACTCACTTCAGAGGCAGACCAGGACACTCCACGACTGACTCTCTTCACCTGCTCACTAAGTTCATAACCAATGCATGGGCATCAAAAGAAAGCTACGTATCCCTCCTCCTCCTAGATGTGAAAGCAGCTTTCCCCAGTGTTATTGTAAACAGATTGATGCACAACCTCAAGAAGGCAAGAATCCCCAATGAGTACATATCATGGTACTGCAACCGTCTTGCAGAAAGAACCACCATACTCTCATTCGACGACTTCACCTCAAACCCATTCAATGTTCACGATGGTGTAGACCAAGGCTGTCCACTCTCCCCTCTCACTTTCATCTTTTACAATGCTGACGTACTCCGCATCCCCAGCCCGAACCCCTGCAAAGGAGAACTAGGACTTGACTTCATAGATGACATCGCCCTCGCAGCAAGAGCCAAATCCTTCGATAAAGCTAACAATAAACTCACTGCTATGATGGAACACCAAGGAGGAGCCCTAGATTGGAGCTGTGACCACAACACCATATTTGAACTCAACAAAACTGCCCTAATCTGCCTATCTAGAAGACGCATGCAGAACCCTGCCAATCCAAGGAAAACTGTCCTGGCACTGAGACCTTCAATCACGATATATGGCCATACTATTCATCCCTTGCACTCACACAAGTTTTTAGGAGTCATCATTGACCAAGAACTCAGATTCAAAGAACACGCGGCACACGCTCTCATGAAAGGCACCACCTACATCATGGCATGTAACAGGATGGTCAAGGTAACCAAAGGTATCAAAGGTAAACTGATGCACAGACTCTTCAAAAGCGTAGTACTGCCAAAAATGATGTACGTGGCAGACGTCTGGTGCTCGGGTCTAGTATCCAAAGGTAATAGTCACAAATCCAGGGGTAGGGGAGCTAGAGGTTTCGCCTCAAAAATGGCACAAGTACAGAGAATTGCCTCCACCCTCATCACTGGGGGAATGTGATCAACAGCCTCTGATATCCTAGACATCCATGCTAACATACTGCCTGTTCAACAGAATCTCCAAAAAGCCTGCCACAGAGCATCCCTGAGAATGGCCACCCTTCCGCAGTCCCACCCCCTGCACAAAGAGATTGCATCAGCCTATCACTTCTGCGCCAAACACAATTTCGACAAGAAGAAACATTACCTGTCACCCCTTCACAACCTCGCCAATGAGTTAAAGATCGACCCCACACACACAGAAACCATCAACCCCATATGCCACTACCCAAAGTGGAAGCCAGACGTCGTTCTCAGCATAGCCAACAAAGCGAAGGAGGCACTTACCAAAGATGCAGAAGCCGATGAAGACATAAGAGTATACTCAGATAGATCAGCAGTCGATGGAGGGGTAGGAGCAGCAGCAGTGATGATGGAAGCGGGAAGAAAGATCAGGGAAAGAATATTCCACCTAGGGAGCACAGAGGAACACACAGTGTACGAAGGAGAAGTGGTGGGAATGGTATTAGCAGTGCAGTTGATCAAGGAGGAGATCGAGATGAGAAGGGGAGTGCCATGCACCATGGCACTGGGGGTAGACAACCAAGCTGTGATCAGAGCAACCACCTCATTTCAATCGAAACCTGGGCACTACCTCATTGACATCTTCCACGACGATCTCAGAGAGATCCTCCCAGATGACAACGGCAGGAAGCTTACCATACATTGGGCCGCAGGGCACACCGGCATCCCAGGCAATGAAGAAGCAGACGAACTCGCAAAGAAGGCAGCCCACAGAGAGTCATCGCCTCCACACCTGATCCCAGAATCACTCCGCAGAAAGGGCCGCACTCCTGCCCTCACCATCCTCCCCATCAGCAAGTCCGCTCTGAAACAGACCTTCAATGACAAGATCAGAGAAGAGGCACACAAAATATGGAGAAAGTCCCCGCGCCATCCCAAACTCAGCAGCATAGACGCCTCTGCCCCTTCCAACCACTTCGCCCTGCATCATAGAGGAACTTCCCACCGCCACATCAGGTAATCGACTTGAGTTTGACAAAGATTTAGCTAGCTTTATTTAATGTATAATATTGAAAATATACATCACAATTGTAGATCATATGATAAAGCAATAGATAGGCAGCTTACGTTGGTGAAATCTCCCAAAGCCACAATATTGACAGACCTATGGTACAAATTTGTGATTTACTAGCACACTGGTGTATTGTTGGAAGATGTGTCTATTATTGCATGGCTAGCTTCCAATGGCAGAACATGTAATCATCAACAGTGTGCTTGACAATGATATTGACCTAACAAAGTGTTAGGCCACGATCTTGACTTATGATACCTTATCAAGATGCCAGTTTTCAGCCAGATATGTCTGGCTTTGGATAGGCAGCTTCTGATTGCAGAAGCCACCATTGATGACAGTGTATAGCACCAGGCTATCATATTGTAGTAAGGTGCTGATTATCTATCCATCATGTCTGGCTTTACAATCACTGACAGTGTGCCAGCACATGATATTGAGTTATCATGCTATAACAAATTGTTGATCTTATATTAGACACAACTACTGTTACATGGGTGACTTCCAGTGGTAGGTTCTGTAATCACTCACAGTGTGCCAGGACATGGTATTGTCTTACATTACACTATCAAGCTGAGGATTTTCTGTCGAGCATGTCTACTATTACAGGGGGAGCTTCTGATGCCAGAAAATCTCATGAAGAAGGCTTCTAATGCTCAGTTTTCTTACTGCATTAATTCAGGGGTGTTTTAGTCACATAGCAAGTATACATCAATTACATTACAAAATAATACAGTTACAAAACAGTAAATAACTAATTGATCTCGGCAGTGGCTAGTTCTCACAAGGCAGCACATTTTTCCCGAATCTTGGCCAGCGCGCTGTTTTTGCTGATACTGCGCTGAGGGGAAGAAGAATTAGGCAATATGTGACTATGAAAGGTGTAAATTTAGACAGCTTAGAGGTGAAAAGGTGCATTATGAACCGTGTCCACCACATCATCAGGTCAGTAACCTCCTTAATTTCGTCAGGATCCTCTAGTAAATCAAGAATGCTATGATAAAAATTTTCCGAGTCCGTGACCGTGTCGGTACGGGAAAATACTGATGATGAACTTAGGGCAAACCAAATCTGAAGATAAAATCAGCTGCAGAAGGCATGCACAATTAATTTGCATACCTGTGTAGCAACATAAGCTAGAGAGCCTTTAGTGACAGATTTCATACCATGCAGGTAAGCGTTGCCAGAGCGCATAGCCTTGGGCTCCTTATTCACCGAGCTCGGAGACGTAAAAACATGTTTGAACCCCTATATTCACTGCTCTTCAAACTCTGTTTGGTTCTGAGGAGTGTTATAATAGACAATTGATATAATGGTGGAAATACTTACTCTACGTCTGACCAGTCAAGGCCGGTGGGGCAGAGCAACCTACTGGTAACTTCATGATTGAACCCACAGTCCAATTTGATATTCTGGGAGAGGGGAGGTATAAGTGGCTGTTCTCTGGGCATAAGCCATTCCAGGACAGCAGATTTAAGGGTCTTGGTATCATGACCTCACACACCAGATGCTCCTTTACCTAGCTGCAAAGGATGAGTACGAAGATATTGTAGAATGAAAACTTACTAATTCTCCCACATGAATAATATCCTCCTCCTCGCCGTCGGTTAGACGAGCTAAAAGACCAGAATAGGAATCTATTAATTCTACGAACACCCTATGTTCACATCGGACACTACATTGAAAAAATTGATGTCCTTGTAACAGATAAAGATCAAATTGAACTCACTCTGCTGGATAATCCTCGATGAGGGTGTCCTGTAATTCTTCAAGTCGTAGTATACCAGCAGTCAGAAGAGCAGGGAAATTACAAAGGGCAAATACAGTCCAACCAAAGTGTCGGCCGTGAAGTACCAGGGGATTTGATGAATTGCTGATGAAGAGCAAGTCAGTATGTCAGTGGGTTACTGCTTAAAAGAACACTTGCGCCTTTTTACGCGGGCCCGTGTGTAGCGCCGAAGCACTACGCTTACGCGTAGAATTTCCAGGAGAAGGATTGTTCTCATCACCACTCATGAATTGGAGGTAGGTTGGCTCTGAAAATTGGCAGTAAACGAGGGCCTTTATATACCCAAACATATATGCCATCAATATATATATATTAACCTTGCCATCCTGTTTTTTTTTTCAAAAAAAAAGCCCTCACTATCTGAGCGCCATAGATGTCGTAATCTATGGCAAATGCGAGGGCTTAAACGAGCCTTCGAAGTATGTAAAAAAGAGGATGGCGCAACTTCATGCGCCATCATTGTGATAAAGATATATCTATAGAACTGCAACTGCTTTTGCAGCTTTTGTACCTCCTCCGATGCCCAGTTCACCCCTTCAAGAGAATTTGCGACAATGCGTCGACATTGGAAGCAATATCACACTAAAGTAAGCTTTTCAGTATGTACACAAGATGCAAACCCATGAAGTTACCTCAAGGTTCCAATTTTCTCTGCTGCATACATCGCAAAACACAGAGGGAGATGGGCTGCGTGGAATTGAGTGAGTAATGAAGTGTTATAGAAAACAACTCAAAACCAACGTTACTACAGGCAACTCCTTCGAACAAAAAGATTGATTGATTCAGAAACTCAGACGATAGGTGAGATTTCACAATTCAATTGTGAGACTGTATGGCGGGTCTGAAAAACATGGCCTAGGTACTGATGAAGAATCTATAAGCGGATTAGAATCTGAGCTGCACCATGTCAAGGAACAACTAGAGAACGCCGAAATTCACATTACTTACCTTTCAGAACGGGTGGGGCCATACAGGCATCAATGGCTGGAACATTACTACCACACCGAGAACCTCAAGTGTTGCATGCCTGATTCTGTTGTTGTGCCCAACCTAGGTCAGATTCCAGAAGGTGCGGCTTCTCCTGCCTTCTGTCCAGAGCTCTTCGGTTGGGAGGAGGAAGGCTCAGAACTGAGAGCGTCGCTGTGATCTACAAGGGCACACCTGCACGGACGTATGTGATATCTATGTCCCAATCAAAATTGGGTTGCATAACAAAGGATACGCTTACAATTTCTATGTCAAACAGGTGATGATCTCAGGGGCTAGGCGCCGTGCCTGTATACCACACTCTATTCACTACATATACGAACTATGATTGATATCAGTGCCCGAACGTTAGATCTCAAGGGCAAAGTAAACGTCGACTTAAGCATGACAACATCTACAATTTATGAACATATAATAAAGTAGTGTAAATAATTGAAGACGTAGTAGAGTGAGGCTTAAGGCAATATGATTATGACAATATAGTAAGGAATAACACATTCCATTATGTTGAGATGGACATTGGGAAAAAAGGGTTAAGTTTAAGCAAGGAACACCCTGATATAGTGAACGACTATTTATTCAAACTCAGCCGGCAACGCCCGCAACCATGAATTCGAATATACGGTGGATCGGGAATTGCCGGCTGGGTCTGAATATCGAATCATTCACTTTATGTACCGTGTTTGCATACCAATTGTCTTCTTTCCATTTGCCAGCATAGTAATAATTAGGGTCAAGTAGTATACGTACCTACTTTACACTTAGCTTAAATGTGATTTTGTAGGGTAGTACTTGTGGTTTGCGCGCACCTCACAATAGTTGATGCCTATGCCCACCGGTCCACAATGTCAGGTGACCACCGTGACATAAGACAATGCAGTGTCATGATCCACAACCACAACTAACCATGATTAATTTGTACCACTGTCTGTAAGTATTAACTAATCCAAATAGTGATTCACTATATATACTGACCTTGTGCATTAACAGGTTTTCTTTTTCCTATCACAACCTCGAACACACTTAGTATTAGCACAATAGTTCGTATATACAAATAACATAGACTATCACCAGTAACAGTATGTCATGTCAAAGTTCAAGTTTGCTGTAACTTTAAGTTGACGTACCTTATACTAGAATGTCCAAACACGCCGGATCTGGTGGCGATGAACCGCCCTCAAAGTGTCACTGCACGATTGACGTCCAAGGTAAGTCGTCCTTGGTATAGTTAATATTCGGGTTATTCATGAGTACAATACAGTGAACCAGGCAGTACCACAGGCACTGTATGATAATGGTGCATGGGAAATCCTTGCCAAATTCCTCACCACATCGATGTCTCTATCCGAGGTAGACGACGCGCACATAGCGTACCTCGGCAACCGATACTTAGCAGATGAATGGGCAGAACCTCGACGCCTGCTCTTCTCCAGTGACCAAGATGACGCCAAATCCTTAGAAAACTTCACCAAGCTGTGGAAAACTCACATACCCAATCCACCAGAAAAGTCTTCCGTTTCTATCCCTGCATCAAGGAGGAACGGCTACTCGTCAAGTTCATGTGCTCAAAAATCATGCAAGTTATCCAAAGTATGTGAATGTCATGGCTGAAACATTTATAAATTGAACAATAAATTCAGGCTGCTTCTAAGTTCATCGCTGATAAGGCCGATGTTGGTGATGATGAAGAGGAGGAAGAGGAGTATGATGGAGAAGATTGGGATGGACCTTCTACGCAGTTGCCGATAGTCACAAGTTTGCCATGAACGTCGGCGAAATAGAGGTTGGCAGCAACCTTTGACGACATGGCGACTCAGTTCGAACAACATTTGCCCAGCTCATCTGAAGACAATCTCGCCTACAGAAGTCCCGAAAGCAGGATGTATTTACTTCGTGTTCAAAGTGGGTTTTTTGTTTTGTTTCTTTTTCAAAAAAGACGTATATATCACTCATTGTATCATAGGAACTACCACTCAATATGTTGCTGAACACCTTCGGAGGAAGGAATTTCCCCGTGATTGTGTCAGCCTGGTCAGCAGGACAGCTTTACGTGGTGGTGGATAGCCCCGCAACGATTGCAAAGTCCTTGCCCTTATCTCTTTATCTCGCAGTGAAAGAGTACTCCCGTATTGCCAAGGAAGAACATGAAGCGGTAGAATGCACGCAGTCCAAGTTTCCTCAACAAGCATGGGTGAGGATCAAGGACAGTAAGTACAGGGGTGACATTGCACAAGTTTTTGAGCAACTGCCGAATGGTCTAGTCGCAGTCTTAATTGTTGCACGTGATTTCCCCTATTCCATGCCTTCAGGATCTCGAGCGCTTATCCAGCGATCTCTCCTTCTGAACCAGAAGAGCGTTTCCGACATCATTCATGATGATGAAGTCGTGGGATGGAAATACAAGGGAGAAAGCTACTACATGGGCCTGCTGCTGAAGAACTTTCACCGCGACAGACTAGAACTCGTCACATCCCCTCATGTCAACGACATTCAGCTACACCTGGATTCTGGATGGAATCAACCGTTCTTGAATGAAACTGTGGTCGCGTTTTCGATGCAGTTCCTGTGCGTGGGCGATTGGGCGAGAGTCATCAAAGGCTCTCTTCGTGGAGAGCTTGGTCAGGTCGTCTCAACTGATCATACTTTGGGGACCCTAAGTTTGCAATCGGCTTTCAATGGGCATCTCAAGGAGATGGAAGTTTAACTCAAAGACATTGAATGGATCTTTCGAGTTGGCAATACTGTAAGAGTGGTGGCTGGTTCATACTTGGGCTTGGAAGGCCATATCATTCAAATATGCAGTGACATGTTTCACCTTTGTCAACATGCTACCAACGAGCAGGTATATCTCTGGTATAATTTCATTTCAATTGTCTAACACTTAGTGCACAGGTGGAAGTGTCTAAGTACTACTTAGATCAACGTCCGTTGAACCACACGGTGCACTCACAATTCCCAATGCAGCAAAATTTCGAACCTTCCGAGTTGGACTCCATTCAAATAGGAGATTTCATAGAAGTCTTGGAGGGTGAGCACATGGGGAAGCGCGGAGTCGTGGACTGGCTTGCTAAGGGGGACAACAAACTATGGCTCCGGGATATTTATACTATGGAAAGCATCGAGTCCAGTGGTGGATTGTCAAGTCTCTCGGTTCCCATAGCAATAGTTCAGCAGATGGACCTGACTGCAACAATTCAATACACAAAGGAAAGGGGTTATGACATCAGACCTGGAGACATTGTGACTGTTGTCCATGGGCCTGAGTATGAAGTGAAAGGCATTGTGCAAAGCGTAGACTTTCCAAACGCTCACTTGTCCATGCTGTGCGACAGTGATCACACACTGGTAAGTATCATCATCTTTACTGAAGCATATCTGACATTATGATAGATTAATGTTCCAATTGGATTTGTTATGAAAGTGCGCAACACCGCCTTGGACTCTTTCAAGAAGGATATTGGTCAAGAAGTTTTCATCATTGGAGGTGGCTATAAGGGCTATCGAGCCACACTCTATAGTCTTGGCGTCGAGGCTTGCACTGTCGCTATTCATGGGCAGATGTGTATCACAGTCAAACTTTGCGATGTTGTTACCAAGTGAGTAGCACTCATATTTCTATTTCTACAGCGATTCAAATATTTGCGACTTTAGGTATGAAATGCGGCTAAACGGGGTGATGCTTGAAGGCCCGGAGTTAATTTCGTTCTGTGTCATGCGGAAAAAATCGTACTTGGCACCGCCATGTCGGAGCACCACACCACCTATCAAAAAAATCCCCTCCAGCTCCTCGACTTCCATCATGGAACACATTCCCTCGTCATCTGGTGTGTGGTCCACCTGGTCTGCAAGCTTGGGTGATGCTGATGTGATGCAAGATTCTTCATTGAGTGTTAATCCAAACACATCGACATCCGACCCGTGGACTGTTGATAAACTCGATACTCAAGACAATATTGATGTTGGAGCAGAGAAACTCTCAGACAGTGGTGAGTGCCCAAAGGAGCCATTGCAGGCTTTGCTTATTCTATTACAGGCCCACTAGCTTGGTTGATGACCATGTGTCCTGCTTGTGCGCAGCATCTGAGTGAGGTATGCACGGTTCGCTGGTTTTCAGAACAGAACCTAGGCATTTAATGATACATGGTGAGCGGGTTAGCATTGATGGTGCAGGTATGAGGTGCGGAATGCAAGTGATATCAACTCCTGCGGATTTGACAGTGTATATCCTATCATTCAGGATTTCGACAGCAAAGGAGTATGAGCGGTCAAGCCAATCCTCATGGTCATTGTCTTTGAATGGGTCATCATTAGCGTGCTGCGTGCACAGACAATGGACCCAACACCCATTGCTGCAAGTCCTTGGGACGCCTTTGTGTCTGCAGTATTCACTGCATTGTGACTGACACAGGTGCTTCTCTACCCCGAACCATCAGACCATGATTATCAATAGGACGAATATATAGGATACATACCTCTTGCCGTTCTATACTTCGTTCGGACAAGAACCTTTTGTAAGCATGCTCTTCCACAAAATAAGCCCATCCTGAATTGAGACTTGGGTCGTGATCATCACTAGATATAGCCTTGCGCTTGAGTCGGAAGTTGGCATCAATGGCGAGAAATAACGCATACCGCCACCTGTTAAAACTTAACACATAGTCAACACATGCAGGATGTGTTTCTCACCTAATATTGGGTGGCAAATTCTCCCATCCATCAGGAATATTGATTCCTGTATGCGGACATGCTGGGCATGGTACCACACACTCGCCGTCTGACGTTGCTTCAATACCAATGGGATCATGGCCACGACCAGCACGCATAAGTTGCAATATGTGATGCCATTCTCGCATCATTCGCATAAATGCTGAGTAACGATCCTGAAAGGGAAAATTGATTGAATGTAATGGAGAGTTTCACATGTGACTGTACCTTGATTGGCGAGGTTCCTGTATTGTCTGAGCTCCTTGCTAAACTGTGGTAAAATTCATATGCAGATACTTTCGATTCGAAGGAGAGTAGATGAAATAATTCAAGAACACTGAAGGTTGCCACTGTTCGAGGATCAGTTGTAGTAGCTGGAAACCACCAAACCCGTAGAAGTTGCTTGTAGCGGATCTGTGCAGTTTCACATCTGCAGAAGTCGACTGCAATATCATGGATGCCGTGCGCGTCAATTACCGTAAATTCATCACAAGATACTGGCTGGGCATTGTAGCAGCGTTCACCAGGTGTATGGCCCAGCTGCACGTGCAATCCAAGAGTCTTCAATGTCACACTCTCAAAGAATTTGCTGTTCCACATCTGGTGACATTGCAATGAAATAAAAATAAGGAAAATTACAATGAAAAATACATATGTCTATGCGGTGAAGTGGATTGCTCAAGTGACGGTGAATGACACATGTCTGGCAGACCATTTCGACCCCAAAACAATCTCTACAGTGGTAAAGATGTGTGGTATTGTTGGTTCTGCAACGACAATTTAGAAGTGCACCCTTGCTACCACATCCTTCAAGACGAATGATCTCATCCAAGAAAGCAGAGCATTCAGGCAACCATTGTAACAGGGGATTGTCCTTCAAAAAACTAAAGTGAGCACCTAATTATCCTAAGTATTGAACACGTACTGCAGCGGTCCTTTTTTCGTTGGTATGTGTTCTGATTCCTGTACCTGAGGGTCGGGGTCTGTTAAGACCATGCACAAAGGGTAGGACTGATTCCAAGGGGCTTGGCTTCAGCTCATGCGCTGCGCCCCTTACCCGAGTATGTGCCCTTAACTTCAGAATGAAGTCCGGAGAAAGTCCAGTGAAGTCCGAAGGACTTCCGGAGAAGCGTGGGAAACTTCGGAAGGACTTTCCGGACGAGTGCGAGAAACTTCCGGATGAGTGCGGGAAAGTTCCGGAGGAACTTCCGGAAATTACGATGGAGTTTCGTCCTGACGGGGATATGTGTAATGGCTACTCAGGACAAGCCCTGAGTAGAAGGAAACAGAGGAAAGGCTGCAAGGACAAAGTCCGAAGCAGAATAGGTCCGGAGGACCGCGGGAAAGTTCCGGAGGAACATCCGGAAACTCGGAGGAATGGAGGATCGGATGAGTGGATGAGTGGAGGAGCGGAGGAGCAGAGGAGCAGAGGAGCAGAGCTCCGGCCTAGGGAATTCCTCCCTAGGCCTGAGATGGATGATTACTGAGTCGGAGGAATAGAACTGTTACGAGGACTCAGTGTGAAGACTAGTGCGAGGACTAATATGTGTATGATATTCAGACTGAGGAAATACAGGAGTATCTACTGGGGTTTATATACTAGAGGCAAGTCTGTGCAGATCAGTAAGCAGAGGGGTAAGGCTATGTACGAGCATGTGGAAATGTATTAGAAAATAAGACGGATCATAGGAAATGAACTCGGAGATGAAATGAGGTACGGAAAATGAGGAAGTCTAACTCAAGAAGGAACATACAAAGGGATAAGGCACGGAAGATAGACGCGGGTCGGATCCGGATGTCCGGAGATGAATGCGTGATAGGTCTGGGTCCGGAACGCAAGGAAGATAGACGTGGGTCGGGTCTGGATGTTCGGAAGTCCGGAGACAGGTGATTACCATAAGGGGATGGGCGCTGATTTAAGGTTTGGGTTCGGACATGACAGATAGGTCGGATCCGGAGATCCGGAGATGTGGATATCAGATCTGGCGTCCGGATATCAGATGCAGGAGTACAGGGATCCGGACGGATAGAGGATTGGGTCTGGAGACATGGACAGGAGGTCCGGAGGTCCGGATGAGGCGTGGGAACGTCGTCAGATGTTGGTCCGGAATGCGGGATATGACAGGGTCTTGATATATGGTTTCATTCCAATCATTGGCACTCGGTAAAATAGGAGACGAGGGGATTGGAACTTCATCGGCGGGTTGAGAAAGCATGTATGTAGTGTCGACGGACATCTTGCCATTGTGCTGTATTCCATAGGAATGAAAACAGTTGTATGCAGGTGCAGGACAAGCCTCATTCACATCAACATAGCGCGAGAACTTGGCTTTCTTGCTTGGTCGGCCCACCATGATGCGCCAGTTATTGAATGAACATCGTGTAGATTCATGTTGTGCACCCCATCCAGCACACAAGTGATGAGTAAATAAGTCTCATTCGTTCGCGGTCCCACCAGGGGGCATGGATGGAGCTAAGGAACCATGTAAAAAAAGGTCTGGATAGAGGGTGAGGATGCGACTGCACCACTTGGCTTGGGCCAATCAGCCGTACCAGCCTCACAGTGAGCACAAATACATCAAGAGAGTTTGGAAACCGTGCAGAATTAATGGGCGATGATCATGTGACTTTTCAGAGTCATCCGGCATGTTCCGGAAATAAACAAAGCATCAATAATGTGTCAAGTCACTGTTTGAGCTAATAGCATGTGACTGATTTGAATTTGCGCAAACTTTTCTAGTACTATACTAGTACTACAACGCATGCCAGTACCATAGTCTGATCTTTGGAACATCGCTTTCTCAACACCACTGTTATGTGGGCCATTGCTTGTTGCTGGCCCTGAGTGCAACTGATTGTTGTGTTGGCACATGTAAGTACACGCCAGGATTGCCACTTCTGCCATGTTCATGATTCGCCCATACCGGTGTAGAGACTCGTGCCTCGCATTGTGTGATATGGCACTTTCCACTAGGGAGTACACAGCACGACTTGCAGCATCACTCTGTGTGCTATCCACAGCTATTCCCTTACGAGGCGCAGCTTTCCCACGCAATGCGCAGCATGCGCGCACGACTTCCCGCGCTTTACGATGTATACGCGCGCGCGCTTTCCCGCGCTTGAGCGCCCTATAGCGCCAGCCATCCAGAAGCATCCATCCACTGTCCACCAAGCTCTCTAGTGCGTATATTCCCATTTCTCTTATTTACATATCGTTCCACCTCTATTTTTACCATGGACCCTTACTTACATATATCTTTACATACCTACTCGGTAGCGCTTCGGCTCCGCATGACAGCGCTTAGGCGCCATATAAGCGCCAGCAGTACATATTATTAGACACTTTACTTTCCAACAAGAACTTTACCTCCCACTTACCACCCACATACTACCTAGGAGAACATAGTAGAAATCTATTCTTTGACACCTCGCGCTCATATCTCTTGTCTAGTATCTAATCACCCCTTAAGCAAACTCACTCTTACTCTCTCTCATTACCGCTCACGCGCGCACGCTTCCCGCGCCTCGCGCGTACCTTCGCTTTCCCGCGCCTTGTGCGCACCTGCGCACTTTCTCGCGCTTCGCATCAGCCGACCAGTAGCGCCTTCGGCGCGCACTACTAGATCCTTGCTGCACTCGCTTCCCCTTTAGGGTCGAACGCACTTGTCGTCTCAAGTATAGCAGACTAGGCAACGCGCGACCTCACAACATTTACAGATACAGTCTGGAGCATCATTTGTTCCTCACAGTATTGTTGTTTCTACACCGGATGCCACTTCTGTTGTAACACTAATATTGACCATCTTTTTGCAGTACTTAGCCTTCAAAATTCATGGCTGTCAATATGTGATCTCAGATCTCTAACCTTAGGATTCAATCTAGTGAGAATTATAATTCCTTTTTGTGTGTGTATGACCATCTACCTCTCTTGCAAGGCTTGTACATTGCTAGACACCTCACTCTTATTTTTGTCCTGCATGAACAGTTCAATAGTCATCAGATCACTAAGGTACGAGTCAAATTCGTTGTATCTGTTGTTTTTAAAAAAAAATGAATACAATTTAGAATGGCTCCTCGCTCCAAGTTCACTACTGAGCAAGTTGAAATGATGGAGGAGTATCGAGAAAAATATCTTGAGTGCCAGACAGTAGGAGATTACACTCCGTTCTGGGCACCTTTTTTCGAAGACTATCATGCAAGATTGCCAGAGAGGGAGCACCTCTTTCCCGATGTCCCCCTCGACATAGATCTCACACTGGAACAAAGAGTCGTCAATGCAAGTATGGTGGATGCATGCAAAAAAGTATGTGTCATAGATAAACATAAGCATGGGTTTAAAAACTAACTATTTGAGCTTTAGCAATTAATCCATCGCTTCCATAATACGTATGGCAACTACACTGCCAAGCGCAAGCTGAAAGCGCAGACTACAAGTACTGTTGAGAAGATGTTAGCGAGTCAATTGAGCCTCAAAGGAATGTGCACATTACAGCCTGCTGAAGCTTACTCCAAGTTATACTACAAGACACGCATCAAACCTGTTGAGGATGCGAAGATGAAGGTACTCAAACAGGAGGCTGGCCTGAGTCCGATGACATCAGATGAGGAGGATGATGAGACTGGCGCTGATAGAGGCGATGTGAAGCAGGTGTCATTGAAGAAACTCAGGCTAACTCTTGTAAAGAAGCATACACGTGCTCTATTCGCAAACGAGACCCCAGAGATCAAGGCGGAGGTGGTCGATTTTGTCAAACAATGGAGCGAAAACTGCAAGAAGAGTTCAAGTGAGGATGATGATATTTCTTTCTCCGAGTAAGTCTTATCTATGCCTTGTGATTCAACGACTTACCATCTTCCAGGAATATCGAAAAATTACCGAATGTTTTAGCTGATATATTTGCCGGGCTGGCGAAACAAACAGGCTGGGCCTTTTCTGTGTTGATGGGTGGGCCTTCTCCAGGAATGGGCGGGAAAATTCAGGTTGAGAGTTTTCATGTGGAGCAAACAACGATGGGAAACACATTCAATCTTGCTTACCCCAATTTTAATGAACGCATTATGAAGCCATATGCGGATTTCGCAAAGCGGGCCTTTTGTGAGTACCGAGCTCACAATTTGTAATACATGACAATTGATGTTCTATGCAGCTGATGTGGTAATGAAGGGAACTATGGGATCACCGAGTTCAAGTCCTTCGTGATCTCACCCTGCTTCTCAATGTTTCGAAGACACCGCAATAACCACCTTAATGCTGATTGACTCCAGCACGCTTGATACATCACTCCTCCCGCTGAGTCAGATGATATCGTTCGATGACCAGCAGTGCGACTTTGCTACTCCTGGTCCAGAATCGTTATCTGAGATCCTTGCAAATTCATCATCCAGCTTGGAGTTATATGACTCTACCACTTTGGATCATGTCTGTGGCGGATTTATTTACTGTCCCATTGGGCCCAAATTGGCTGGATGTGCCTTCTAACCAGCCAGTCATACCTACCAGCAGCGTCTCCCTTCATCCATTCATGACACCAGCAGTATCTCTCGCATCTGAGACACCACCAGCACTTCCCATGTCTGTGGCGCCAGCAGTAGGTCTGGTGTCCAAGACACTACCTGTATCTCCTGCTTTTGTGGCACAAACAGAAGATCTCATGTCTGAGACACCAGCAGTACCTCCCGCTTCGGTTGTGCCAATGGAACATCTCGTGTTCAAGATGCCAGTGGTACCTCCCGCTTCCATGGGGCCAGGAGAACATATTGTGTCCGAGACACCTGCACTACCTTCCACTTTCATGGTGCCAGCAGAAGATCTGGCATCTGAGACATCTGCACTTCCTATTGTCAAGTTGGTCTGTCCTACATCTACGTCGCCTGCACTCCCTGTCATCAAGCCAGTCCATCCTGCATCTCCATCACCTGCAGTTCCTTTTGTCGAACCGTCTCTACCTCTCATGCACCTTGCCCCTGTACTTCCTATCGTCCAGCCACCACCTACACATGTGATGCAGCCTGTAGAACTTTCAGTGGGACCTCCAGCAGAACCTATTCCTTCAAAGGCAGTTGTGGAAGGCCCACAGGTACACCCTCGACAACACAGGTCCCTTGTGCTGGGACAACAAAAATAAGAGCACAAGGAGTCAACCCACAATGAGGTTGCCAACTCCATCGGCAGTGTGAACATCGGCAAAGAGAAATCAGCATCGAAGAAGCGGCCAAAGTCTCTGACTCATGGAGCACCCGCAAAGTGAGTGATATATCAGTCATGTATCAGTCAGGTACTAAATAACAACCATTAGAAAGCAACATGTTTGACTTGTTCCTACTACTCTCTGAGCTCATCTTGTGATATGTGTGCCTCACCTACTAGGTTTCATGTCCTACTTATTTAGCTAGTTTACATTCTTGATCTCATACACGAGCTTCTACAATGCCAAAAATTTTGTCCTGCTGGTGTTGTAATATTAAACTTGTCAGCATTGTAATGATATAATAAAAATGTTATATAAAATGTCTGGTTATTGAGATCAGTGGGCGGCTCATAGGGACTTCAATCAAATTTTCTGTGTATCACATGATGTTTGGACTCAGTGAAAGCAACTGTGGCAGGGTCGAGCATCATGTGATGTTTGGACTTGAAAAATGGCAACCACGGTGGGACTTGGTAAAAATACAGAAGGATAGTAAGGTACAAAAGGCACGGAAAAGGATAAGTAAGCACGAGGAAGCAGAAGTATGGTACAAAGACCTATGTGACAGGTACAAAAGGGTACTGAATGCATCCAAGGTCCCAACTAGTATAACCCCTGTCCTGTTTTTGTGGGTATTGAGAGTCATACATTAGTGATATATCACTACCTGTGTCCTGTAGCCTGGTAGGGGTAACCAGAGTGATAAATTAGTGATATATCACTACCTGGCACCTGGTCCTGTTTTTGGGGTAACAAGAGTGATACATGAGTGATATATCACCACCTGGTCCTATTCTCAGGGTAACAAGAGTGATACATCAGTAATACATCAGTGATATATTACCAGAGCTAGGGATCCACATGGATCCTCATCCTCATACATTACTTGATTGTAAGTGGTAATAACAATGATTCATGTATGGCAATTAACTGATGATTACAATCTATTTAATGTATGATTATGACAGTATAGACTCATATTAATATATTCAGTGTTGTCCTAACCACACACTAAGACTCATCTTATTCTAGTTCTCACCAACAGGCAGGAGAAAAGAGACAGGGAAGGGCATTGACATTACCCATTTATGATGGAGCCCAGAATCAGCATTTGTCACAACCCAATAACGAATAAACGCTGGGCAGAGACTAGGACTTAAACACAAAGAAGATGAGACAGCAGGTACGTCTTGGTATTGCTCACTAGGAGATACAAGAGGTTTGAACTAAAGAACTACTGACTACAAGACGCTACCTATATACACATATTCAAACTGAGATTCAAACTGAGTCTAAACTAACTACCAATCAAATAATAAGACAGTATTGTATGATTCTATATATAACTATGATGTCATGACACGTGCCGCAGCTACTGTAAGGTTCTGGAACATTCTGTCAGGTTCGTTTGGAATAAAGTTTAGTCCAGCATATTCCGATAGATCACATGACTCGGTTATCGACTCTTTGGGTAACTCTACAATAGACGCCGTTGTTGGGACATCTTCAACTATGAATACTTTCTTGGTAACAGGCGCTGTGACTGGGCATTTAAAGGACTTAGAATTTAGGAACGTGTAGTGGTTTGTATTTGGAACTCGTGACAGCATTCAGCCACAGTGCAATCCCTTGATCCAGTCACAATGTGAGTCTCATCCAGCAAGTGTGAGACTGAGTTAACTCTATCAGTGTGTCTGCTGATCACAATCAGAACAGCTGTCCAGACACCAGACAAAGAGAATTTGGAAGCAGAGTTGAGGGGCGAGAATGGCAGTGCTGATACATAGAGATGAGGTGTGCTGTACAAGATGATGCCGCTGAAGACTTGAATAAATCTCTGCACATCCATTGCAATTGACAAGACATTTCCGTATCTAGTGTGACCTTGCAATTGCGATTGCGCACGAGCTGTTAAGAATGTGCTCAAGGGTCGGATCCGAAGGGCTTGGCTTCAGCTCGTGCGCTGCGCCCCTTACCCGAGTACGTGCCCCTAACTTCCGAGGGTTGTCGAACGATGTCCGAAGGTTACCGGACGATGTCCGGAGGGCGTCGGGCGATGTCCGGAGTCCGATGTCCGATGCGCGGGAATTCCGGCGGACGTTCGGAAACAAGAGATAAGACTAATCCGGACGAAGTCCGAACTAGAAAGGAAACAGCGGAGGACTACCAGAGGTAGAGGCGGAGGTGACAAGTCTATAGGAGTCGATCCTAAGACGAGCGGAGGTCGACGAGAGAGAAACTCAAGTCGGACGGAGGAGAGAATGAGCAGAGTCTAAGATGATATTCGAACTGAGGATGTACATAGATTCTAAAGGGTTTATATACTACTGAGGACTTATCGGAGAACAGAGATGCGCAGTCCGAAGCTATACAAAGCTGTGGACGGAGCGTATAGAAAAGTCAAACGCTAGTCTATCGGAAAATAGTAAATGAACCCGGAGATTAGAACAGATGAAAATAAAGGCGGAAATGAAATGAGGTACGGAAAATGATATAGTCTAACTGGAGTAGGAACGTACAAAGGGATAAGGCACGGAAGTTAGACGCGGGTCGGATCCGGACATAGATAGACGTCGGCCGGATCCGGTCTTCCGGAAATGATGTGTGTGATAGGTCCGGGTCCGGAATGTGGGATATGACACGAGCATTATATCTGTTGCTCAATAACCATGTGCTCACCTTCAACCACTTGGCAATAAACAGAAGGCCAAGGACTGCACTGCTGAGCGCATTGATAAGGCAGAGTACTTCAAGCCAGAAGAACAGTCGCTCATAGTCGAAGAATGGTTTGATTTCTTTGGCGAGTTCTGCATCCAAGCCAGTGGTTCGTTGTATGTGTGTAGGCCAGGATGGACAGGCATAAGATAGATATGGGGGGATACACTTTTCAGCTCATTCTTGTAGACCGGGATCTTCGGAGTTAGGGAGATGAGATGATTTTAAATCGCAGATATTGAAGGGTAGTTCATGTCTGCGACTTCCTGTGGAATGTTCATCCATGGAAATCCTTTGAATGTGTTGAGTGCCCACAAATGTATTCTGAATGTTAAGAAGCGGGCGAGAATAAACCAGAGGTTCCTTGAGAACTCCGTGATTCGAGGAACAGCAGAGTTCTAACGTTTACCGGAAAGAATGTGAAGAAGGTCGGATCGTGTCTTGACCGCGCCGCTCTTGTCTAGTGCGTCGATCACAATCACGATAAGACTCTGCCTTTGAGAGCTTCTATAGCAATTGCTGTTTTGTCCTTGCCTGCAGGGCCAGATAGCCACAGTACACGTGGAACCTAGTCTCCAGTGCTGTTCACCCAATATGTGATCTGGGAGAGTACTTCCGTGCGCATTCCTTGCAGGCATCATCAGGAAAACCCTCCCATATAGACTTAGATAGATTAGACGTTCTTAGACAAATTTTCGCAAGCTGTGAAATTTTATAGTAGCTAGCTCTAAGACCAATAGTATAGTGCAAGCTAATGATAATCATTGGCAACTAGCACAGTGTTGCAAAACTGTATCGATCTAAGTATGTATTTACATAGAATGATGAACACTCGTCAAGAACGTTAGCAGAGGTCCATTCACAAGGAGCTACAGAGCCAAAATGCGGAATCAAATGGGCACTACAATGAATATTGCTGATTGGTATGATGCTGGCCATTCATTCTCCATTTTTAATGACATGTGAGACCTTGTGCAGGCCATGATCTCGATCAGGTACACGGAAGGTAGAGAACCATTCGACGTATGTGAGATGTTTCGGAGGCTGAAATGTGGACGGGAAAATTTTGGGGATGGCTTTGGGAGGTATTGAGAATATGATACGGACTTGCGCAATTCAATATCCTAAATAGTAAACGCTGAGTACCAGTCAACAGCACAATTCAGAGCACTCACCTTTGATGCCAAGTGACCTGCCAGTGCCATCATTAACGAACACGGTATCAAATTGTGGCGCAACACTGTCGGATGTAAATTTTCCTGAACATCCAGGACGTGCATGGACACTATCGACTGTGACCGGAGGATCCCCATCACCACGAACATTATCCAAGAGCCATTTCACCTTGTGAAAGACTGGTAGTCTTTGAAATGGGATGTGTATATCAGCTGCTCGATCTTCGAGCTGCCTGGCCGTAACAGTAGTGTTGACAGGAAGGGTAGCTTTCGCAACATAATGTGCGAGACATTCATTAAAGTGCATGGCACCATATTCGTTTGCGACCTTGTCCAATGTGACCGCCTTGATGGTAGGATGCTTTGTCATCGTTTGAGTACGATGAAATGTCATTTCTGGGGGACGGGGCTGATGATGCGGATGTGCGGTGTTTTCGACGAGTCTCCACTGAATGTATTTCTCGTGATGTGAGATTTTCTCCCTCCGTTCAAGCCAAGTCGTCATTTGACCAAACTCATTCTTGTGGTTCGTAGAGCGATAAGCATCTTTTGCAAGGTCGATGTGAAGGCATTCAGTGTATTCGGTATTGTAGTTGTCTGTAGTGCCATACATTCGAATCATGTGAGCATAGTGAGCTGTGAAGTGGAGTTTTGGCAAGTTGAAGGAATTCCGAATGCCAAGGTCAATAAAGATGTCCTTGTTGTCGTGGAAAAGGTTAAGTGCCTCGTCAAGTAAAACCAGCGTCTCAGAGCTGTGACATGGGTACTGAGCAAAATATAAAAAGTCTAGCAGACCACGAATGGCACGGAGGAGTCAAGCGGAAGACATATTATTAGGTAGACTGATGTCAATGATGATTCCGAGCAAGAAACGGCAAATTTGATTATGTTCTGTACTGCTTACACGCGAAAGAGTTGTGATGCCCTTCGTAAATAGTCGAATATGGTGATTTGGGGGGAGGCGTCGACATCGTGCATCAATCTCCGTACTGCCACATGCATCAGAAAGCCAAGCAAGGAGATGCTTGACAAGCCCTTGGTATAGTTGATGCAGAATATCAGGAGTTATGGATTCGAATATATTGACAAAAGGTAGTCCCTCCCAGAATGGGTGGACAATAGGCTTAATGCCAGCATCTGCGCATGCACGCACAAAGGCCAATCCACCTTGGTCAAGAGCGCAGAGGGCATCAAGTACTGCACCAAGGTCTCGTGGTTGCCAATTTGCGACACCAGTTGCTAGACCAAGCTCGTCGGAGGGAACATCGCACTTTGGACATTGAGTTGTCTTGACTCCGGTAGCTAAAACTTGCTCTGGGTAGTCTCCTGCAAAACATGCAAACAAAGGATGGCCTTGATGCATTATTCCATCGCCACTTCGCATATTAATGCCATTGATGCCGGCAGCTGTGAGTGGTGCAAGTACACGTCCCACACAAGCATGATATAAATTGGCAAGCATCCGTCGGCGAGCAGCTTTGTTGGTAACGTGTTCGAGGCAAGTACACGGTAAGAAGTTAGTTGAACCTGTGGTTAAACTGGTCCTTTTGGTGCTCAGTATATATATAAATTTTGTGCACCGTTCTGTTTTGAATAAAGACTGAGTACTGAGTTAGGACAAGATCCGTCGGTTAAGTATAAACAAGAACGAAATGCTAATGTTGAGTTGTCCGGCAGCCGCCAAGCATTGGGCCTCAGGCTCATTGCGAGTTTAACCTGAGGTTCAAACTGTTTGGTCTATTCGGCCATAAGTGATTTATCCTGGGAACAACGCCAAACAAGGGCCGCACCCCATAGGTACTATCTGCGGAGGGCATCCTTGAGTTATCCTTCGGCAGTCTCTCCATACACTCTCAGCACAATAATCGTTGGATCAACAGCCTCGTTTAGTCACCCCACTATGGCCGAAAGCAGCACATACTGGAAACAATATCGTTCTACAGTTCTGCCTTGTAAGTACTTTATACGTAGGGTGTCTTACAGATATCCTTTCACGGTTGTTCTGCTTATCCTCAGTGCAATAATCACTTCATCAACAGGCCCATTGCTCAACCTACTATGCCTGATGGAGAATTCTCCCACCTTGATGGTACAACGTGATCTAATAGATAAGCTCACAACTAATAGCTAGGATCTAATTTTTGCTAGTTTGGACACCTGCTGAGGCGAACAAATGGGTCTGCAACCTTTGTCAGGACAATAAGCCCCATGATCGGCGAGCAGTGCAGAAGCATGAGAGGACCTGGTCACATCAAGATGCAGTCAAATATCATTCGAGAAGGCAGCAGCATCGCGGGAATGGTTCAATGGTACCTGAAGCTCAATCTAACTCCATCGTTGAGCTACGTTGTCTTCTCGATGACATGGCTAGCACTCCCATTTTTGAGCCGGGTGACTCAGCAGACAACATTGGCGACTACTCAGTTACGAAAGCAACGATCGTGCAAGGTTTAAGAGACTTTTTAGATGAAGATGACCTCTCAGATGATCAGGGAGCTGAAATATCAGAAGATGAAGAAGTTTTTACGGGGCAGACATGGCACGATGGTATGTTACTCTGGCTACACGGGATGCGGCTCACTTTGACATTTTGAGCAGATGAAAAGCAGGCTGGTGATGCCGCTATTGGAACTGGCAGTGATAGAAAGCGTTCTCGAAATCAAATCGTGAATGAGGAATGGTTTCCGTGGCCCGATAAGATTGTAAAGTCGTCTATCAACCTGCCAACTGTTGTTGATCCAGTGGTGTTCTATCAGATGTGCACACTTGATATTCTCATACACCTTCCACGCTCTGTTTTTTCAGAATGACAGATTGATATTTTACTCTGGCTACTTTGGGTCAACAATGTAGTCGATGTACCTTCAGTGAAGTCTGTCAAACTCATCAAAGACACTATTCAACGATTATGCGGTATCCGTTCAATCCCTTATGAAGGTGCTCTTGGCCATAGGTACTATGTTAACTCGCTGCCTGACATTATTCAGCAGGTGTGTGTGTTGCTGAAATGTAATCAATATTTTATACTTAGTTGTGTTTGAAGGAAATGATGAATCCTCGTGTTCGGCCACTGTTACACTTCTACCCTGAAGATACCGGTGTGGAACTGAATGAAGCTCGACAAGCTAAATGTTGGCTTGAGGAACTTGACCCGGAGCTGCTTACGCCTGTCGTCAGACTGCACAACCAAGATTTCTTTGTTTTCGAGCCTGCATTACTATTGAGTGGCCAAGCCTGTATTCCATTTCAGTGGTTCATATGTGGCGGGAAGATGTGCACTAAAGCTTGGTCATTGCAGCCTGTCACTCGTGAACTGGATTGCGGTTGGGTTGTAGAAGATTTTCATTCATTTGAAGTATCAGAAGATGATCTTCTTGTATCATTCCGAAACTGGGATTCGAGCGAAGCCACATCCGGTCTACCTCGTGCATACTCGATATATGGTAAAGTCATTTTATCACTTTGACTATTACATCTCGCAAATATATGTTTAGGTGTAGAACATGAACTTAATGGCAAATTGCAGCCATGGACATTAACCAATCCTTCTGAAGGCAATCAATGGTGTGTTCGGGCATCAGGTGCTCGCGTATACGCAATGCCTCTCTGGTTATACTGCGACGACACATCTGGAAACTTATCGAAGAAGTGGAACAAACATAATTCATTTCTTTTTACAGCTGCAGGATTGCCACGAGCAGAAGTCCACCAAGAGTACAACGTCCATTTTCTTTGTACATTGAATCTTGCCCCTCCACTTGAAATGTTGGATGGTATTGTAGACCAACTTGAGTGAGTAAGATTTGTTGTGAGCAGGCAAGTGGAAATAACGATGCTGGTAAAATTTAGGGAATCATGGAAGCAAGGCATCTGGGCCTGGGACTGTGTCCATGAGGAGTATGTTCTTGTCATCCCGTCCATCTTGGCCTTGCTCGTGGACAACCCCATGCAAAGTGAGATGGCCTGTCATATCGGGTCAATGGGAAAATATTTTTGCCGTATCTGTAAAGTGAAGGGGCACGATGCAAGTGTGGAGAGCAATCCTGCACGAGCAGCTGCTGCATGACCTGAAGATACCGACCATAGTGTTGGTGAGGTTAGTGGAAGTGAATCCAAAGCCTATACTACCGATGCTCCTCCAAAATCTACACGGAAACGAGCAAAGGAGACCATGGAGGAGATGGCGACACGGGTTAAGCAGTTTGTAAAGGTAATAACAAATCTGAGCGGTCTTGCATATATTTTCATTTATGAAGTATGATATTAGATAGGAGAACCACGTCACAAGGATGAAACTATCGCTGAACTCAAGTCAATGTTCATTCATGCGTCAACAGTCAGGAATCAGACCCAGATCAAACAAAGGAAGACTTCTACGGGCATCAAGGACACCTTTCTGGACTCATTCTTGAATCGCCTAGCTGAATCATACTGCAAAATCCGGGGTGGCAATAAGGCAAAACAGGAAGCGCTTGATAGAGTTAAAGAGACACTGCCCGAAAATGTCATAAGTCCTGTGTGGCGAATCAAAGGTCTCTCAACCATTTTCACAGTGTAATATTATTAGGATTGACTTCAACAACATCTCAGGTATCGATCCTCACACCAACACACCTGTGTAAATCCTCCACACAGTCCTTCTTGGATTTGTCAAATACCTTTGGCGCGATGTTGTCTCTGTGAGAATCGGAAAAGACAAATTGAAGCGGGAACTTTTAGAAACTCGCCTATCATCTGTTGACGTCTCAGGTCTTGGACTCAGCCATCTCGCTGGTCACACCCTCGTTCAATATGCAGGGTCTCTTGTTGGTCGTGATTTTCGTGCTATCGCACAAGTTGCACCATTTGTGCTTCATGACTTGGTACCCACAGAATGCTATGATACTTGGGTTGCGTTATCAAACCTAATACCACTCATCTGGCAGCCTGAAATCGAAAACTCCATGGAACATTTAGTATGTAGCATACTTTTCAGTCTGATTTGCTGATATTCATATTAGTATCTGATCATTATCATCTCAGCGCAATCTTACAACATCGATCAATAACTTTCTTGCGTGCACCGCCAGGTCGACTCCCCGATGGTTCAATAAGCCTAAATTTCATGTTCTATTACATGTCGTTGACCACATTCGACGATTTGGACCAGCTGCTTTGTTTGCGACAGAGGCATTTGAGTCCTTCAATGCTGTCATTCGTGCAAAAAGTATTCATTCAAACCACCGCACTCCTTCTCGGGATATCGCACATTCTTTCGCCCATGGAAGTCGGATTTGTCATATTCTCTCGGGGGCACGAATACTCATGCATGATAATGATACAAATGACATTCACTCTGATTCTCCCGAACTTATCCAAGCCTCTAATCCCTCATCAGACAAGCCGCCAGATGCCATAAACGTCAAAGTTGTTGGAAAGGGTCCATTGTCACTTGTTCAACAGCCAAATATTATTACTGACTACCTCGGACTCGACACGCATGCTGACACTAAAAAATATGGTAAAGTTCAATTTTACACGAATACAATACTAAGGGTCAGTATCTTTAGGTCAATGCCTTCGTAACAACCTGCCACTCCAACCTTACTTGACTACCGAGACGGGGAAATACTTTCCGAATGCACTTCGATCGCTTCCAAACGGCACTCTCAAAGGACATAATTTCCGTACTTGCAAGTCCATGGTGCTTTTCAATGGGGATGTTTGTAAGATAGGAGATTGGGTTCTCATAGCGGATGGCACAGCAGAGCAGTCTCCAATTGTAGCATGTATTCGAGAAATTATTCAGCGCCAAGGCTTGGATGCAGATAACCTTCTGCGTCCAGATGCAATTCTTCTGGAACGCGGAAGTGTTGGCGAACCGGCAGCATCCTACTCTATGCCCGCAGTCAGGGCACATGGTGGTTTTTTGCTCTATCCTGTCGAGGTTGGTGGTTCATCTGTACGAGTCATCAGTCACTGAATTTCTGTTTCTATGAAAGCAAATTTTATGTGCAGCCAATCTGCAGCATCAATGCCGAGTACACAAATGCACGAGCTTGGCTTCCGATGTTGAATTTGTTTATGAAGAACAGGCGAAGACATCAAAAGCTAAGGCTGTGATACATCACATCGGGGACCCTGATGACCTTGTTCTCAACACCGCACGGATGCAAGACGCAAAGCACATGCAGGGCCTTCGGGTACCTATTCAGCCGCAAGATATGAACCTCGCAATCCTCGAGGGTGCTGCGAGGGAGATTTGGACACGCAATGACACCACTGGTGGAGCTTCCACGACATCTATTATAGCGGCAGCACATGGACCACGTGCTCAAGGCCGACAAGTTAATAGATCACTACAGCAACACCAGTCTGTATTACAAGTTCAGTAACCAGGAGCGGGTTTTCACTTCTACATATCATCTGCTGCACCTACAAGTACCCAGGTGCATAATATTCTTTATCATATCTCCTTCTACATAATATCATCTGCTGTACGCGCCCCTCTTAGTTGATTACCAATACTTGTTGCTAATATGCAGTGTCACCATTCGGTTGCAGGGCTCACTATGACCATTCAACATGATCCTTATTACAACAATGAAACTGAAATTATACCTCAAGGCCATCCTTGCTGCAGTACCGACTACCGCCAAACATTCTTATTACAACAACAAAACTGAAATTATACCTTCAGGCCATCCTTGCTGCAGCGCCGACTACCACCAAACATTCTTATTACAACAACAAAACTGAAATTATACCTTGAGGCCATCCTTGCTGCAGCACCGACTACCACCAAACATGATCCTTATTACAACAATTAAACCAAAAATATGCCTTGAGGCCATCATTAATACCGCATGGAACCCACTAATGTAAGGTGAGTTTTTATATAAATGTGTCGATGAGCATCTGATTTTATTAGTAGAGCACTTTCCAGCGACTCGCCTTCGAGTCAGTCATTCATTTTCACTGTCACTCATCCCAGTCTACAAATATGTCCTTCGACTTCTCTACTCCACCTACCGGTTCTCAGCCACGGGCGTTATCATCCTTCCATTTATCTGGTCCGCTCAATGATTCCCAGCCAGGAAGTCCTTCGAATTCGAGCTTGCTGATGAGCCCTTCTGCCTACCTACGCACTCCTGGATCCCCACCTTCAAGTTCACACCAACCACAAATTGACCCAAATCTATTCGCAAACGAGTTATCCGCCCTCTTTGTGGACGCACTCGCCAACCAATTTGGCCTTGGCGATGCAGAACAGGACTTACGGAAAAACCTACATGGTTTTGCTAAGGTACGTCAACGGTTTGATTTTTCATCCACACGCTGACATTTTTTGCATTGCAGCTCGGTCATGGACTGAGCAAATCTGACCTTGCAACTAGAACTTATCTCCTTGGCAGTATATTCTGCATTCTCAAGGAACAGCGCATAATTACTGCCTCTCACCAATCAACACAACAACTTCTCGCAGATTTACAAATCCGTCTCGAAACCACATTTTCACTTAGTCCTGAGCAATGAGTAAGTAATCTTCTTGCGCCATCATCTATCAAATATCTGAAGCATAAAGACAAACATACACATTGTGGCAGGTGATCTTATCTTTGATCCTAACAGGATCACGTTCATGACACTTCATTTTGATGTTGCGGTAAGTCCTGCCAGTGAGTTATTAGATAGCGCTGTATGCTTATTTTCGAATCCCACAGAATCATTTACATAAAGATCGTGAGGCCTTTAAACTCACAAACATCTATGGAAACCCAGCTAGGGAACGTTTCCTGACCATCTATACTAAGCATCAGTGTTCTAGTGTCCGTAATTCATTTCACGAGTTGGTGCGCACAAGTGGTTGATATTTGTTTCGGTTCTCAACTGATTGCCTTGTTGCAGCTACGTGACAGTGTCATTGGCGATGACACAAGCACACTATCAGACTTTATTTATGACTGTTCGAATCGTTTCCGTCGTGCAGGCGGGAACTCAGACCTTGGACATCCAGTCCGCACCCGTTTGGCTATCTTAGTACGGTCTTTCTCCACTGTATGACTGCCAAATTTTCTCACCATTTCAAATTCCAGCATCGTTTTGCATATGAAAACCCTCATTTGCTTGACTGGGCAGAGGAAGAAGATGAGAGTCTCTCAACACCAAGTGCAGAAGATGCTAAAGACTCTCCTATCGGAGAACCACTGAAGAAGAAGCGCAAGCGCGGCCAAGGCGGGCGCACCACCAAAGGCGAGGACTTCTGGTCCAAAGTTGAAATGTGGTTTGAGGCGCGACAGAAGCAGTGGGGAGATTCTTGGGGGACACCAGGCTGGACTGCGTATGTTTGCCTGACTGTCTGGCTGCACATCAAGCTGACCTAGCCTTAGATATATCAGCCATACCATCGAACTCGACACCCATCGCTACCAGAGGCCGGTCGTCCAAAATCCATTCATGATTGACATCATTGTTCCAGAGGCTTACGGGGCACACAGTGGGTCTTCTACCATTGGTGCTGCTGCCTTGAAGCAGAATGGCTTGGGAAGTATGGAGGACATTTTGAGGCTCATTTGAGCGAGCCAGCGGTTGTACATGGGCCCGACACCTTCATTAGAATTTCGACTTGGACATTCAATACCCTATAGCTAGTTTCTTTAATATTAGTCCTGTGTGACTGCAAAGCTATTAGCCTGACAGAAATGCCCTAAGTTGACAACTTGACGTCAGACGAGGAATAATATTCAGGCTCTTAAGATGACTTAACCAGTACTGCGCAAACCTAGGCATGAAGATCAATGCCAGATGGCGACCAGTACTGCGCAAATCTAGGCATGAAGATCAACGCCAGATGGCGACCAGTACTGTGCGAATCTGGGCATGAAGATCAACACTAGATGGTGACCAGTATTGTGCAAACCTGGGCACGAAGATAAATGACATTCAATAATCAGTATTAAGCTGATCTGAGCATGAGGACCAACTCTACTTAGTTCTGTTAAGCTAATCTTTATGAGCGAAGGCTCCTCTGTGATTTGCATTAATTCTATAACCAGTAAATTTCATAGTACATAGCATGTTGGCCCTCATGTTCTGGAACAACCGGTAATCAGGTTGCAATCACCCTCATTCCCTGGATAAAAATAACATTGCAACCGGCAGCTAAAGTTGAGGATGTCCTCAGGTTCAAACTACATTGCCCATGGGACAAACACTGCGATAAACCAAACTTGAGTGTCACAACAAATGTCGCACTTCAGATTCAATAGTACTGAGGTGCACAGGTCCTTTTCACACTGCAGTTGAGTCTGAAATTATCCTATTTACAACTATTGTAGGTTAACCCCAGGTGCATCCAACTGTCTTGCTGTGTAGTCGGAAGGTATGCGAGGAGGACATGTGCCTGGTGTGACGGTTTCCAACGAATATCCTTTGGGATGTTTCCAATAGTCATGTAGACGGGGTACGCTGTCTTGTTGCGAAACATCATAACTTGAGTCTTGTCTGATGAAATGATGATGGGAATTATTGTAGCACCAGGGTGCTCACGATCTAAGTGTTTCTAGGAAGAATACAATATTAATATTAGTACGTTGGAGCTCACAAAAGGTAGAAAACACCGACCTGACTATTCCACCACCATTTTCCAGTATGCATCTCATGATATAAACGAATCATCTCATCTTCGTCGGCATAATGGTGTTCAGGCACAAAGACCAGAAAGTCAGCAAAACTTGGATCACTGAAAAGAGCCTTGATGCATTCAATGATATCGCGATAGTAGACATCAAACACTTCATTAGCAACGACAATCTGATCGTGTTTGAATTTTGGATGGCCTGGAAGTTCATTGTCGATAATCTTGTTCAGTTCCCATGTATTCATGAAGGAAAGACCAATCTTTTTGCTAAGCTGGAAGTGCTACAATTAGATTGATCCTAGTGTTCAAGTGAAGCACGGACTTACACCTTCAATAGAAACAAGTTCTGAGAACGCAGTTGAGCTTGAACCTCGTAATTTTGCCCATTGAGCCATCTCCCAATCAAGCTTCGAGGTGAATGGGGCATAGATATTATCTGCACTCGAGCCATTAAGCTGTGCATGGTAGGTTATATTGCTTGGCTGCTTGATGGCTGAGTCAATGGGCTGTCCAGCTCGTTGATCAGGGTAACGGACAACTATAGGTACTTGTTCATGTTCAAGAAGTCGCCGCTGCGCCATATGAAAAGCATCTTGGCCTTGATCTGCGGTAGGTGGGTGTAAGGCATCATTGTGCACAGATGCTGGCACTACAGGAGGTTCCCATCTGTCATGATTGTTAGTGTCATGATGCTCCATAGAATGACTTGGGGGTGCCAGTGCTGCAGGAGGCTCCCATTCATCATGATCGTTGATGTCATTATCTGAGTCATCTTCATCCATAGGCGCTTGACCAACATCCCCCTCGTCATCTGACCCTGGCCATGCAAGCTCATCCTCGGCGTACATTCCAAAAAAATCACCTTCAAAATGTAGCGGATGATTTGGATCAGGTGCATCTATATCTACATCATTTGCTGGGTCTGGAGCGAATCGCCGTGAGGAAAGGTAGAGGGTACGACAGGCAGGATTGGTGGTTTTTGCGAGATGCTGACTATAACCGGTGATTGACGCAAGCTTTTTATCGCAGGAAGGACATGTTATTTCAGGCATGTTCTGCGTAGATTCAATAAAAAAAATGAACACTGAACGCCTGAAAATCACTTACAACTTGTCAGTCAACAGTAAGGACAAATAAAGTGTGCGAGTCTGACAGTCAGAGCAAAAAAGTGGTGTCAGCAGCATGTAAGAGGCTGTGAGGCTCTGCCAAAGTAAGAAATATTGGGTAAAGTGATGACGGTATTCCGCATGCTCGGAGATTGGTAAATCCAAGTCTTGCAGTGATGGAACTGGATATCAGACTCATTAAGCACATCAGATAAATGACTTTTGCAAAGCACAGTAGCTGAACACAACAAACATAGAGGGTAGTAATGGAGAGGAGAATGCGTCTTGATAGTTCGTAAATGGGGGAATGCCAAAAGTTCCCAGCCGATGGGGCTGTTACTAGGGAAGAACACTAGTTGAAGATGCTAAACATAGAGGGTGGTAATGGAGAGGAAAATGCTTCTTGATAGTCCGTAAACGGAGGAAATGGCTTTCGCCAAGTGCAGTAGTGGAACATAGAGGGTGGTAATGGAGAGGAAAATGCTTCTTGATAGTCCGTAAACGAAGGAAATGGCTTTTGCCAAGCGCAGTAGTGGAACATAGAGGGCGGTAATGGAGAGGAAAATGCTTCTTGATAGTCCGTAAATGGAGGAAATGACTTGCATCCAATTAGCATGCCACCAATAAGAAAGTTCCCGATTGACAGGACCGTTACCAAGAAGAGAATGGTGTGCGCACTAGGACTACTTTGTAAAGCTGTGTTTTAAGTTTCTGAACATAAACTCACCAAATAGCAAACTAAGCCGGACAAGGAAAGGGTCAACCCTGGCTCAGCGCTCAGTATAATAAGCGGACTGTTTCAAATTAAATGCCTGACCCCAACTTAAATAAAAACACTCACTCACCTTTTTGAAGCGGTCTTTCTCCAGCAGAAAGGCACTCTCACATTTGTTTTTCAGACTTTTTACTCCTTCTGACCTTAATTTCCCTTCAATGGACTTGCATCCACGGCGTAAGAAATTTTTCATGACAACAAAGTTAAAACTCACTTGGTTCAAGTACGACGCAAGGCAAAAGATCAGGCTCTAGACAATCCAGGTAAGCACATTGTCACCACACAAATTCATACTCACAATGAAACTGTGTGGCAGTTTGGGGACCACTCCACCGAAACAAACGGGCACGCAACCATGAACACTCACCCACTGACGATATTGCACCTATTCCAAAACGGGTCAAGTCAGTCAAAAGTAAGTCGTGATTAGCAGTAACTCACCTGTAGTGATGACCCGCCATGATGGATGCAGGTGGTGGAATGAAAGCAAGGACGCCAGAACCTCCCCTCAGAACTGTAAAAAGCAAAAGCTGCAGTAAGTATCAGTGCCCACACAAAAGCCAAACTTGCTCACAGAAAGATTAGAGCGGCCACCACCTCTCGCATCAGACTCTGAGGACAACGTGGAGGTTAGCCAACCTCAGTGGTTCAAAAAGAAGAGGGGTCAGCATTGTGTGTTGTCACGTGACACTCTTACTAATGGTTGAAAGTTATAGCTCATGTCAGTGTTGAACCGTCAGATATTGATTCAGACACTGCTAGCAAGCAGGGTGTCTCTGATAGAGCTTCCAGCTCTGAAATTGAAATGTCGGACTCAGGATCAGAGCCAGTTGAGAGCATCGCAAAAGCTCTGTTTGAAGAGGTGAGTCGCACTGCATTCAATAAGCTTAAGTAATCTGCATGAACTTTCAAGGTTCCCGCAATTGTCAATACGCAGGCAGACCGCCAGAAAAAGCCTGCAAAGAGTAAGTCTGGCAGACCTCGGAAGACCAGAAATACTCCGTCCGAGTCACCAACACCTCCACCACCTGTATGGGGCTCACAATACAGGCCTTGGAGTGCGAAAGAAAAGAAACATACCGCCAAAGTAAGAATATATCTTGTTCATTTGTATTCCAAGTCTACTGAAACCAAAATTCGCTCAATAGATCCCCATGTGGGACTCTCCAATGATGAGGTCATCCTTTGGACCGCAGCCTCTCAAACACAGTAGCAAGAGCAATACACCCTCCTCCGCAGTACAAGTCAAGGAAGACGAGGAAGACCTTTCCATCCTCGATATCAAACCTGAGCCCGATGTGCCCCCACATGCTGATGTGATGGCTGATCTTGTCTACACAAAGACTGGGTCAGTGCGACTTATGGACCAGAACATGGAGCTTCGCAAGGTGATCCATCATGGTATCCTCGAGGTCAAGGCATACATTGCCTTCAAGCACGGGTACCCTGAAATTGTGGCCAAGAACTCATATGCACGGGAAATCTTACTTCAGGCTGCGAAGCACCACAAGACAGCACCAATTGAGAAATGGATGCATGTTGATGATGAGTATTTGTCGGCACTCGCCAATCTAGTAAGTAATCTGTCTTACTTTGATTTAATATTGACACCTGCTATAGATTGATGCTCGTGCAAGCCTCTTCCGCACTGAAATCAAGGACGTCGCCTATAAATATGCCCCAGGCTACTTTCGACTTGGCCGTAACTGCAATGCTATCATTGACTGTCTCCTTGCGGGTCATTCCTACATTTTTCCACAGACATTTGATGTTAGTTTTTTCGCACAAGAATTTGACATCCCACTGACACCTCGCATCAAGGCTGAGGGTCTTCCTTCTCCAAAACGACAGAAGCCATATCAAGGGCAGCCCATAGTCGACACTCTATACGAGACATTCTTCAAAAACACAAAGTCAGTTGGTTTGCAGTTTGCTCAGCACTTTCTTGACATTGCGGAGAACAAAACTGGTCGACCAGAGATCCCTATCCCCATGTTGGCCATGGTCAGCACAGCTGTAAGTTTGTGTTCACACTCATCTGTTCATTGACTCACTTCTTTGTTGTTAGATCCACACTGTTCTCGTTGCAAAGAAGAACAAGGCAGGTGAAGATTTCAAGTTCACTGGTAACCAATTCTGTGATATCTATACATACCATGTGGCGTTGTTGGAGAGAATCCGAAGGACGGCTCCTGTCAAGTTTCACAAAATGATGGCCGATATTTATGAGGAGGTCCAGTAAGTCCACATCCAATTTGGTATACACGTTGCTGACTTACTGTTGCTTACAGGCATTTCCGTTGTGACACAATTGGAGTCTATGACAAAGATACCAATCTAGCATTCTAGGACCTTGAGGGAATGGATGACGAGTAGAATACCTCACTGACACTGTGCCATATTTTGCAGGACATAGGATTTAATCTTCGATACCCCACTGCTTGCTATATCTCACCACTCGCTATGTTTTCTCGTGCTTGTTTTGCTCATATGAGTCGTACATTACTGCATCAGCCTGATACCCGATTTTAATGATATTAATTTTTTCATGTACTCGAAGTGTGAAAGTCTTCCTATTAGTGTTTCCTAGGGCACGTAAAGGCTTTCCTAGGTGTCTACTAGGACACGTCAAATTGTTTTAAATGACAGCAAGGTATGGCTAATTGTTCTAAATAGCAGCAAGGTATGGCTAATTAAAAATCAGCAATAAAGTCTGGCTAGGATGTCTAGCCCATCTAATATGTCTAATATGTATTAGTTGCACGAAAAAAGATCTAATCCGAACAGCTTTATCTAAGTTTACATGGGAGGGTTTTCCTGATGATGGTTTCCTGGTATCAGTCCTGCGTTCGCTGCATAAGTTATATCACTGAGGTCCAGTAGTTCACCCGAAAAGAAATGTATAGCTGTTGCGTCAGAAACGAGTACAATGCTTACATGGTGGGTGAGTGTGTAGAACGTGCAACAGCTTGAAGACTCATGGAAGCTCTTGGTCTCTGAAATATCTCTGATGAAGTGAGCGCATTCAAGCCTCGAATATAATATTACAATTACACCAGGCCAGGCTGTGAAAAGCTGAGCCGACTAGAGAGCACTCGACTTTCTTGCATCCGCAGCAGCAAAGTCGGAGATCACATCTTGACAATACGAGGAGAACTGAAAAAGGCGATGGGGCTGTATCGAACGACGTCAACATGTAGAGGCGCGATTGCAGGCGCTAGTCATGCTGAGTAGAATCTTGGGCTGGAGTGAAGAAATTCCGCAAAGCTTACAGAGGGAATCCAGATACATGAGGGAGAACGTCCTTCATATTAACTTTCCTGGGCCCAGTTATTTATCAATTGTCATTCTCCCGGAAGGATGTATCAGAACGGGGGAAGCGGTGTGACGTAGAGGGAGGTAAGGGACTTGATTTCATTAATTGAACACATGCTAGTGGCAGGTATATCATGCTGTTCCTCTGGAGTCTCCGAATTCATGAGGCCCTTTCTGTATCGAGACAAACTTGAATTTTTAGTGCTAAGAGTCCAGAATACTTAAGCGCCAGATTGTAATGCTTACCTCCTAATAATCCATTATTTATACAGTAAAGCTTTTGAACGGTCCTTTGTGTGCACAAGGATTGTAGAAGTACTTGTAGAGCTACGCAGAACTGTCGAATTGGCCCCCGCCGACGACCTGGAGGTGCTACGCTTTGTATGTTACTATTTGGTCAGCGCTCATGAATTTAATATTCGGTCAAGACTGCGGCCATCCTCCTTCGTTCCCAACCAACGCATCAGCGTTTCGCCATCGTCGCAATCAATGTCGCGCCCTTCACCAAAGTTACTACATCTTACGGTATCTGTTCCGGCTGATATCAAAGGTCGTCGGCGAAGCGGGAGCATCGTCAAGGTCGAAGAAGTCGGTGGGCGTACAGAGGAACTTTTGGACCGTAGCGCATACCTCAATATCAATGCTAACTGGGTGAATGCAAAGGGTGCATAACACTACTCAAGTAATGTGATTATTCCACTAAACCACCTGCTCAGGTGCATGGCTCATACACGTCGTTTTGGTCTTCATGGGAAAGATCATTATCGATACTATACCTGGTATGACGCAACAAATCAGCTGGACACTCGTTAACCTTATATACCTCAATGTACGCTCCATTCATCCTTCGGTTTGT